GTCTGGCCTTATATTTCAACATTCATCAGCATTGGTACCACATCTTTCTTTGTCACTTTCAATGTCCTGGTCTATCATTTAACTCAACAGTTTGTAAGTCAATAAAACTGAAAAATATAACATTCACTCCAACAACAATTGAACACAAGAGGAAAATGCCTTCGAAAAAAATTCCATTTTGTTTACAAAATATCTAGGCCTGGTCCAATCACAAAGTTTCAAGAGAAACTACACAGTAGTGATTTTGACTACCCTTCGTCTCAGCACTATCATCTGTTTCGTAACAGAAATGATGATGAAGATAATACTGATTGATGGTAATGCTTGTGCTATATCGACAATGATCATAAATGTTTCTGCTGACCAACCATTCACATCAACAATTGGACAAACATCATACTGGAAAGTCTACTGACCTGAAACGTGATTAACATATAACATTCCTCAAAACATTGAAATTTAAGCTCTGAAGATACCTTGAAGTGAGCGAGTTTGTTTTTACGCTGCTTTTAGCAATATCACGGTGGGAGAGACCAGCAATATTCCAGCAATTTCACGGCGGGGGACACCAGAAATGGGCATCACACATTTAACCAAGTGGGGAATCTAACCCAGGTCTGTGGCTTGACGAGCAAATGCTTTAACCACAAGGCTACCCCACCGCCCCTGAAGATAGCTTGAAGAGAAGTCGATTTGCATGGGTCAAGTTTTATCTGTCAACAACTCAGACCAACAAGCTGAGGGTCTCTCTGTCACAAATACCTGACAGTAGGACAAGGTTACTCTTATATGTCAACAATCAAACAAGGCTGACAAACAGGATTGCTCATCACCCATGACAACTCATTTGCTGGACAACCAAATTTGTAAAACTGACAAATACATTTTCTTTAGTAACTGTTATCGCAAACATTTCTAATAGTTGTGGACAGACAGAATAAGTCACAAGTGATTTTCCAAATGCCACATGTTTTAATAGAGGAACATATATACTGATGGAAACAAATAAGGTAACACATGACAGTACAAGTGTTCGTTTATTCTTTTCCAGGTTTCTTCAAAGCTTTGTGATGTACTGTGGGTGAATATCTAGGCATAATTAAAGGAACAATGTGACTAAGATGTGTTACCTTAATTGTTTCCCTCAGTATATTTTGGATATGCAGAGATGCCAACCCTAATTTAGCCCAATTAGTATTTTGGCCAAAACCTGATGCAAAAATTAGTATTTGGGGGCCAAAATTAGTATTAACTTTTCCAAAGAATTTTCATATTAAATTTAAATGTTTTAAAATATATAGTATTAAGACCTTGTTCTTAACATTGTACTCACCTAAATCAGTGGTAAGTTTCTACAGATATTTTGATACTGAATAAAATGTGGTTAAAATTTATTGTGCATGGTACATATGATTTTTGAATTTAATTTAATGTATTATTTTTAAATTTCAGAATTTTATGATAAAATCTAATATGATAAAATCGTATGGGTTGGCATCTCTTGATATGACAAGCCCCAAAATAGTAAAGTTTTCATCCAACATTTATATCCATATTTGACTAACATGAGACAAAAGTGTAAGATAGCGTTCCTCACTACACAATAACAGTAACAGTGTCGACACCAAAAGCACTTGGGAGAAATGTGCGGTAAGAGCTGTGCGTTGTCAGTCCTTTAAACATCAAACACCGTGAAAACTGTATAAAAACTTTATAGAAAACTATACCAAGAGTATGTATGTCATTCTGGGTGGGAGAAAACACTACAGTTCAGTTCCCATCCCACGTCAAGATATGTTCAAGTGTAGGGCAGGGTTTCATTATCTTTACGATCTTCTTCTACCGAGAATACAACACCTTCATGGAAAAATAGCGGAAGAGTAGATGTAGAAAAATACATGGCAATTTAACAATCACTTTGTCACATCAGGTCATCACATTGAGAGATTTACAACAACTAAATTAACAATTAAAACAATCAAATTTAATAAAAATAGTTTTCAAATCTTAAGACAGCAGCATATTGTTTTAATTTAATATCTTCACAGAGCAACAAACAATAACTTCAGATATAGTTCTGAGACACAGGAACACCTGTTTATAATGCTGGACTTTGTTAACGTTATTTCAACTTGAATTTGTGTTCACGTCATTATGCAATAATTATTAGATTTCTTTTAGATTTAACACCCTACCTCAATGCAAACGACTTGCACCATGTAATTATCCCTAAGTACCTACAGATAAAGAATACTGTTGTATGTACCTGTCTTTTTTCAGAATTATACACCCAAATATGTAATCCTACCTAACATTTTTTTGTTTGTTTGGCTGCTTGCTTGTTTGTCTCAGCACTATAATTGAGTCTGGATATGACAATCCAGTGACTGACATCATAAGCATCGATCTATGGAACTGGCATACAATGACATGTGTCAACCAAGTCAGCGAGCCTGACCACCTAATCCCGTTAGTCGCCTCTTACAAGCATGGGTTACTGAAGATCAATTCTAACCTGGATCTTCATGTGTAACTTAACATTCATAATTTACGTAAATCACATATGTTAATTAATCAATATTTCTGGGTAATATGAAGAAAACATCAAACCCATCAGAAGTTAGTGTATGAAATATAGAACTGGGCCATACATATTGGACTATACACAACAATGGCCGAAGTGCAAGTGACCATGGCAAAAACGTTCAAGCATTTGAAAGTGTCACATCCATGTTCAGGACATCTTACATCAGCAGGAACATCAACACAAACACCACACATAACAAATATATTCAGTTTTGAAAATGGAAAATATTTGCTCAGAACTTCATGCCCTAATGGGATATATTTGCTAGGAACCTCATGCCCTAATGGGAAATATTTTCTTAGAACTTCATGCCCTTAAGTAAATATTTCCTAAGAACTTCATGCCCTAATGGGATATATTTGCCAGGAACCTCATGCCCTAATGGGAAATATTTTCTTAGAACTTCATGCCCTTAAGGAAAATATTTGCTAAGAACTTTATGCCCTAATGGGAAATATTTGCTTAGAACTTCATGCGCCATTCCTCCATATTGCATGAGAGTACACTGATACAACTTTTCCTCTTGCCCTAATTACTGATAAGTTAGATTCAGTATATGACAACAGAAATATATTCATAAATAAGTGACCGATATGAATACATTGGCAAAATACCACTCATGAAGTGATAATCTTTGATAACAAAGGACAAGGTACGAGAAGGGACTTTTTGGCCAACAAGATCTTAACAAAATTTAGCAAAACCTTAACAAAAGGTCATCCACTATTTTACTATAAACAGTACTTTCATCATTTGATTCATTAAAACAATAAACATATGGGTAAGGCAAAGAAATATTAAAAAGTATGATCCTGTAGGTTTTCATAACTCTGTTTTCTAACATTTAAACATGACAAAGTGTTTAAACCAAGATATGTACACACACCATGTAAATAAATACAATGTTACATGATAAAGAATCCATCTTTGTCAAAATATTTGCTCATTGCTAAACTTAAGCCGTGTTTTCTTAATTTTAACCAAAATAATTTTACCATAAGTCAAATTTTTATAACAACAAGAAAAAGTCAGTTTTAAACATTTCTACCGATAATTTCCATCCCTATATTTCCGAAATTCTAACTTTTACATGGACAATTCCAATGGGAGGGAAATACCATTTTAACATATCATCCAATTTCTGATGAGAAATACGAGATACATTTTAGCATGGTCCAACTTTTTAGCATATTCATTTTGAAAAAATACTGCTTCTAACTATCTGGATGTGCAATTTGACGTTTCTGTTTTACAAACCTATGTCGTTCAGTTTTGAACACATTATCAATAACATTACCAAGCACAAGATGTGTAACAAAAATCAATCGGTTTGAATCTGTTTACTTTGGAAATAAGAACCCTACAAATGTAAAACTAAATCAAACCAATTATACCATTGAGCAATTTCCAGATAAATCATTGTAAGTTGTGATCATAGATCAATCGTATTGTACAGCTAGAGACAATTATTGTACATGCACAATAGTGATTTCAGAAACCGAAGAAATAATTTGTTATATATTGTTAGTATGGCACTTTCTGTTGTGTTCCCAGTCAAACTATTGGCCTTATCAAACATGACATTGTTTCCATCCTAACCAGCTATTTTGCAATTTTCCTGGGGTTTTTTCCAGAAAACATATGCCAGAGAAGAGGCCATTATTTCAAGGGGAGTAACTCTTAATTCATAATTTGGAAAGAAAATTAAATTATGAATCATAACACATGAAAAGAGGTTCTTTTATAATATACATTATGGTAAATAATGTTTTCAATTCTTTAAGGTGGGCTTACTGACACCAATAATCTGGGCTGAAAAGGGAAAGGTAACTCCCATGGCAACACCTGTAGGTTCGGTCACATGATTATGTCTACCTATATAGAGACAGCGCTTCATAGCAATCACGGTACGGACATCATTGATTCCTTAACATCCCCGCAACACACAGACTTCAACAAGTTCAATATTTTCAGCAAAATTATGGAACATCATATCTGGGATAACAAATTGGCTTCCTGAATCACACTGGAATCAAACCAGGGTTTATGCATATAGAATGAACACACTCCCTGCTGGACTACAGGCCATGCTATCAGCAAGCTCCAGTTGCAGTATATACAGACAGTTTTCAACTACATCGGCCATTGATCACGAAACTAGTCTACAGTTAGACTAAACATTTGTTACAGATCAACCGGATACCTGCAGCCTGAAACAGCTTGTTTGGCGTTAGTTACAACTGTTTACCTAAAAACCACTTCTAATGATTAGAAATCGATCTAATGAAGAAACAAATGATAATGGACGTCAATCGCTTTGCTTGTGAGTGAAGAGGGAGAATGCTGACATTTGTGCAGACTGTCACACTTTCTTCGTTCTCGACATGCTGATTTCCTTACAAGTTCGAAAACCTGAAACAGATCTGAACCTGGTACGAGTCATCTGAGAAATCAGGTGAATGGAGTCGCCATTTGGTGAAATGATATTTGGTGTAGGGACTTCACGTTGTGTCTATTCTGATCATTCGCAGTTTGAAGTTGTCGGCGAGAACACATGCCGCCTCGTTAGATCCGCCGCAGTAGCGAGACGAAGAGAACACGGTCATCAGACGACCCTGTTGCTGAACCTGGTAAAGTAGAACTGTGACGTTAGGCCCAGGCTTTGTGCTCAAACAAACAAAATTGTTTAAATAATATGTACAATGAGGGCTGTCAGGACACCAAGGGTGTTTGAATGGTATATTTATCTAAAATCACTAGATACCCAATCAAGGGACAATTGACCCCACTCAGATCTATCTTCAGTCATCTCTGATTCTAAATGCTGTCTCCTGAAGTACAACTCAGTTATATGTCTCAAGCTTATAGTTGTCACCAGTTAAATGGCATCACTTCTGGTTTGAGAAAACATATGCCCATATATAACCATAATAAACCTCAGTAAAAGCTATGAATACAATCTTAGTTATATCAAACAATGTTCATGTCTGCCATTGTTTGGAAAGGGAAGCAACTCTGATTCAGGATTGGTTGGTCGGTTAGTTTGTTGTTTAAAGCCGCACTCAGCAATATCCCAGCTATATGGCGGCGGTCTGTAAACAATCGAGTGTGGGCCAGACAACCCAGTGATCAACAGCACGAGCATTGTTCTACGCAATTGGGATACGATGACATGTGTCAACCAAGTCAGCAAGCCTGACCACCCGGTCCCAATAGTCACCTTGTACGACAAACATGGGTTGCAGAAGATCAATTCTAACCCAGATCTTCACAGGTACTGATTCAGGAACCGTCACAGGAATGATGAGTAGAGTAGGGTACCTTGTGCAGTTGCAACAGACACATGGTACCAAGAGTTTATGTTGTGTGTTTACCATTCTATTTTCAGCTGTGGGGTCTGCAAATTGTTATATTAACCTCACATGAAGTTAACATGACATTCTGTCAAGCCGTCCAAGTGACAATTCAACTAATCATGAAAGGAAATTTAGTAGATATATAATACAATGAAGACATTGTACCCTGGAATATGGCGGATGTCCATTACCTGAAATCCTGTTTCCTGCACCTCGTGGGCTCGGATCACGTGGGACAGACCGTTTCGATCCAGGAAGGAAAAGAGAGCATCACAACTGAAGAAGTGTGCCGTGCCTCGCCGTGAGTTGAACACAAACCCATTGTTCTCAGTCAGGTCCTGCATGACATCAGGGGTCACCAGGTCAAGGCTGAAACACAGTGTACGCGATCATCACCACGCGATCATCACGCGATCATCACAGCACTGGGTGTAGGTATACAGGGTTATTATAGAATACTAAGTGTGACTTCCATGTGTATATTACAATATAGTATGAGTGAGTGAGTGAGTTTAGTTTTACGCCGGACTCAGCAATATTTCAGCTATATGGCGGCGGTCTGTACATAATCGAGTCTGGACCAGACAATCCAGTGATCAACAGCATGAACATGGATCTACGCAATTGTGAACCGATGACACCTGTCAACCAAGTCAGCGAGCCTGACCATCCGATCCCGTAAGTCGCCTCTTACAACAAGCATGGGTTACTGAAGATCAATATTCTAACCCGGACCCAGACTGGCAGGGGCACGGTGACCCCACTTACCTGATGGGATCACTCCAGAGTATCTCCCAGGCCATGGGACTCTCTGTCTCGGGATCCGGCAGGGGGCACGGTGACCCAACTTACCTGATGGGATCACTCCACAGTATCTCCCAGGCCATGGGACTCTCTGTCTCTGGGTCTGGCAGGGGCACGGTGACCCCACTTACCTGATGGGATCACTCCACAGTATCTCCCAGGCCATGGGACTCTCTGTCTCTGGATCTGGCAGGGGCACGGTGACCCAACTTACCTGATGGGATCACTCCACGGTATCTCCCAGGCCATGGGACTCTCTGTCTCTGGATCTGGCAGGGGCACGGTGACCCCACTTACCTGATGGGATCACTCCACAGTATCTCCCAGGCCATGGGACTCTCTGTCTCTGGGTCTGGCAGGGGCACAGTGACCCCACTTACCTGATGGGATCACTCCACAGTATCTCCCAGGCCATGGGACTCTCTGTCTCGGGATCAGGTAGGGGCACGGTGACCCCACTTACCTGATGGGATCACTCCACAGTATCTCCCAGGCCATGGGACTCTCTGTCTGGGGATCCGGCAGGGGCACGGTGACCCAACTTACCTGATGGGATCACTCCACAGTATCTCCCAGGCCATGGGACTCTCTGTCTAGGGGTCCGGCAGGGGCACGGTGACCCAACTTACCTGATGGGATCACTCCACAGTATCTCCCAGGCCATGGGACTCTCTGTCTCAGGGTCCGGCAGGGGCACGGTGACCCCACTTACCTGATGGGATCACTCCACAGTATCTCCCAGGCCATGGGACTCTCTGTCTGGGTCCGGCAGGCAATTGGAACACGGTGACCCCACTTACCTGATGGGATCACTCCACAGTATCTCCCAGGCCATGGGACTCTCTGTCTCAGGGTCCGGCAGGGGCACGGTGACCCCACTTACCTGATGGGATCACTCCACAGTATCTCCCAGGCCATGGGACTCTCTGTCTCTGGATCCGGCAGGGGCACAGTGACCCCACTTACCTGATGGGATCACTCCACAGTATCTCCCAGGCCATGGGACTCTCTGTCTCTGGGTCTGGCAGGGGCACGGTGACCCCACTTACCTGATGGGATCACTCCACGGTATCTCCCAGGCCATGGGACTCTCTGTCTCTGGGTCTGGCAGGGGCACAGTGACCCCACTTACCTGATGGGATCACTCCACGGTATCTCCCAGGCCATGGGACTCTCTGTCTCTGGGTCTGGCAGGGGCACGGTGACCCCACTTACCTGATGGGATCACTCCACAGTATCTCCCAGGCCATGGGACTCTCTGTCTCGGGGTCTGGCAGGGGCACGGGGATCTTGTTGATAGCCTCTATACTGCCGTTGTCGTGCTCAGTGCTGGGGATACCTCCATGTACACAGAACACCTGAAACAAGCATTGGACACAAACATGAGTGAAGCTTGGGGTATAGTTATAGACAAAACACATGAAGTGGGCTCACAAGCTTGCTCAACCTACTCTAAAATTCACACACACTGTGTCACTATAATAATGCTGATGCGGCGTAAACTTTCAACTCACTTAACACACACTGTATGTATCTTTTCTTTTCTACGTCCCTTCGTCCACTGTCTGTCTCTCTCCCTTCTGTCTCTCTCTCGTGAGTTAGTGAGTTAGCGAATGAGTAAGGTTTTATGCCACTTTTAGCAAACTTATATCATTAAAGCAATATCCGGACAGGGAACGCCAGGCTTCACATGTATCAAATCTAACCACTAGGCTACCCCGCCATCCCTCTACATAAGTGACAAGAGAAATTCCAAAATTCCAAAATTAGCAACTGATTTTTCTGTAAAAGCAACAAGCTTACTGTGTATAGTGTGCCTATAGTGCATGCATTGTCACCATGGCAACATCAGACAATATGGCAGACATCTATGAAGCTGCAAATGTGTGGGAGAAGTCAGATTTATCATCAGGATGTTATTTATTCAGGTTCATAACAATTTACAGAACTGACTGACTGACTGAGTTTGGCTTTATGCCGCTTTTAGCAATATTCCAGCAACATCACGGCAGGGGACACAAGAAATGGGCTTCACACGTTGTACCCATGTGGGGATTCGAACCCGGGTCTTTGGCGTGACGAGCTAACGCTTTAACCACTAGACTACCCCACCGCCCCAATTTACAGAAGAGAAACAACACTTGTCATATACTGTGATACACAATACATAGATTATTTATGCTACAAATGGCAATAACTGCAATAAGAAAGGCAGGCCTCTATCCATCACTACGCATTACCTTGTCATCAATGGTAGCAGCAATAGGCATACAATCAAAGCACTCATTGACAGCATCCCAAATTTGCTGGCCTACACTGTCGCCGAACTTGCTTAAACATTCACTGCGAACAGAGTGTGAGACATGTTACAATACAATCACCAAATTCATAGTATCCTGCAAATACACCTTGTGGAAAACTTCCGAACATTGTTGTGAAAATCATAGTTTAAACTTTAGACCTGATCACCATGTCCTTTCCCAATAAGAGAGGTGAGGTGAGGTGAGGTGAGGTGAAATTGGGTTTTACGTCGTAATTGAGAATATTTCGCTCATATGACGACGTGCATGCGTGTGTATGTGTATATGCGGCTGCTTGTACTAGCCCAGACTTAAGCTGGTTTTATAGTGCTAGCTCACTGAGATACCATGCCGCAGTGAAGCATGAATACCCTACTCAGACACATTATACTGACTCCGAGCCGACCAGTCCTTGTTGTACCCATTAATGCCAAGCGCCTGGCAGGGACCAACAAGTACCATATTTTAACGTCTTTTGGTTTGACGCGGTCGGGGATCGAGCCCGCGACCTTCCGCTCTCCGGGCGGACGCTCTAACCACTACACCACGGAGGCGGTCCTTTCCCAATAAGTAGATTATAGATCTGGTGTGCAGTGATATCATGATATTCTGGCACAAGTGTTGTAAACATAGAATGATATGGATACCGAAGTTGTCAAATTGAGGAAAATAAACCCAAATCTACTTTCAAACATAGGAAGTTGTCAAATTGAGGAAAATAAACCCAAATCTACTTTCAAACATAGGCTGGCTACCTGCCGTCGCTGTATGTAGAATGCAACATCACAGAAGAAATGTGACATCATAGCATTGTACATGACATCACGTCACCATAACAATGTGATACTTTGCCCTAGGGCATTGTATGAAAAATATGAACCCCGATATTTTCGCCCTTGTAGGTAATAATGTAGTGTCAAGTAAAATTGTATCTGGTCTGGTAAAGTTAGTAAACAATCATACCAGCAGTATAATCTAATGAAAATGGTGCCAAGAGATAACTTCAGAATCTTAAGTATTGGCACAGCCAGGTAATGTCTGATTAACAAATGGATGTTCCACTCGGTATCAGTCAGTAAATATGGGGTGCGGTGGGCGAGCTGGCTAAGGCGCCAGACTAGTGATCCAGCAACCTTGAGGTGACGAGATCGAGCCCACATGTGACCGGGTGTAAAAACCTTGGAGTCAACTTTGTGTGCAGACTCTTTCAATGTCGTCACAACCCCTAGTGTACAGTACACATCCCTGTGCACTTAAAAGAACCCATGAATCCACTGGTATATGACCAGATGGTGGCCACATGAATACGTGCAAACACCTAGTTGTGGGTACAGCAACGTGCAGTGAACTTGGACAAAGTACTGTGACTATATGTCCCAGTCCACCCAGCTATGAATGGGTACCTCGTTAGGATGAGAAGGCCACAATAACTTGTTGCGCCTAGTGATTGCAAGAGTTGTCTACTCCCCAGGGAGTTGAGACTGATAATACGATGTGCCTTTGAGATTGACATCAAATGATCGAGGGAAAAAATACCAGCGCCTTGAGCAAGCACTAATTGCCTGCATATGTGCACTATATAAATATCATATAATAATAATAACCTTATGCTTACTTACGTTTTGAAATGGAACATTTCTTGGACACTGCGGAGCTCATGGTTGCCTCTGAGCAGGAAGAACTTGTTCGGGGACAGAAGCTTCTGGGCCAGGAGGTAAGACACGACCTGGAAACAGGATCACATTTGTTAAAGATTAAGCCCAGGTTTTCTTCTCATGTGGTTATTAGATTTAAACCATTTCAAACTCTGAGTAAACTCTCAGTTTGCACATTTGACTTAGTATGTTGGACTGTCCATCGACTAACAATGGGAAAGGAGATTTCTTATCAACATTTCTTTTTTGCAGTGACACCTTTATTCTAATCACATTAGATGTCTCTGATTGACCGATCACATCAGCAATACTGCAGCCATATGACTTAAAGACATGATATCAGACATTCTCCGACAAGCTCACCTCAATCCCACACTCGCCCCTGTCAACGTAGTCCCCAAGGAACAGAAAGGATGCAGGAGTGAGGAGAGGACCCATCCTCCACAACGCCTTCTCAAAACTCACCAGGTCTCGGAAGTTGCCATGGATATCACCTTCATCAGAAACATGTCATGTATTATCTGGGCATCACTCGTATAAACCCCTGATATTTGGGGATCAGTACCATCGGGAAAGAGAAATGTTACATACATGTTATATACTTGTACTTAGTGAATCACTGTCATTAACACAATGTCATGTATTATCTGGACATGTCTGTTATAAAACTTGACATATTACCACCAACAAAAGAAGTGTTTGTACAAATTATCAGCCATCAAATGTAAGACCTTTTAAGGGCCTATTCAATGCCCAATAAACAAGATTAAGGCCCTATAAAACACATATAAAACATGAGTACATGTAGTTGAAGAAACATGAGGTTGGTCAAATTTGGGATCATCCATCCAAGGGAGATTACTCTTTGCTACATCACTGTGAAGGGAAAGTTTTGCTTCGCGATGGAGATTAATTAACACCGACAGTCACTGCAAGGTATTTTTTATGTATCGGTTTTCTGTAAAATCATAACTTAACAACTTTCAGGGCAAATCAGTGGCAAATAGGACCTTTTCAAGGCTCTAACGAATTTAGGGAGTTTGAACTGTACACATTTGACATCACATTTGAGGCTTTTTCCAGCCTAGGAAGGACTAGTGACATTTAATTGCAGACAATCAACTCACCATTTGCCATACAGCTCGTCTGTGTACCAGAACATCTTGTGGACAATTGAAAATACAGTGCACCCTGGATACAATGCCATGTTTTTGAGAGAACGGATTACAACAACTGTCGTAGGTTTTGAAATGGACATTTTAATGCTTATATGTAACCCAAGGAGGACTTCTGCTGAAAAAGAATTAATGTGTTAATTATTCATGTTTCAGATGGTTGGAGTGTCTTACCAAGTATATAAACTGGAGACTTGAGCTTGAGCAGTCGCGGTTCCTGGCTGAGGATGTCTTTAGCTTGACGACATAACGTCAGAAGGCACTTTGCAAGAGCATTTCTATCAACCTGGCCCCAGTTGAACGCAGGCTGGAACAGAACAGACATCCATGCTTGACATCAATCTATGAAGCAGGTTTCGAGATAATGTAGCATTTGTGATATTTGGGATGACGCTTTTTTAACTACAGTACTTTTGTTGGGTTGAGTCCCATCCGGGATTCGAACTCACACTCTCAGAGTCAGGCACCTAATCGCCAGCAAACAGTCAGCTGTCTAACTCATTCAGCCTCGTTGGCTTTCACAGAAATAGAAGTAGGCCAACTGGTAGTCTACATCACAGACTATGTATCCCTCTGACAAGTGTAAATTGGAACAACTCCTAAGTGCTGAAAAGCTAATAAGTGTCAATAAGCATGGCTCCCACATCCAAAAGCAATGAATATACAATACTATTCAGAAAGTGGTCAAATGAAACCAATATTTGGGATTATACTTCTCAATAAAGTACCGATTTTAGTACTTTGTTAGGTAGAGTCTCATCATGTTCAAAATGAAAACTCATTGGTACAAATGAGCGTGTCACAAAACAGAAAAAATACTGCACTGTCATACTGTCATGTGAGTCTAGACCAATCCTGAAGACAAGAAACATTCTAGGTTTTGGTCTTACCTTGGGGAGTCCACCATTCTCTCCCTTGATTGCTCTCTCAAAATATCGAAGTCCAGTCAGCATTTCATTAGGATGAGATCGCTGCAAGTATGGGAACAACAGTGTTAGACATGTATTTGTGACTAAAAAACTGGATTCACCAGAGTAAAGTAAGAAGTCTTCATCAACAAATCACAGACAGCAACCACTAATTTGGAACATAGAGTGAAAGTTTAGTATAACACCATTTTGTACAAGATTGTGGACATATTGAGTCATGTAAGCTTAATGTGGGTGGGAAGTCGTAATTGACATTTACCATTCTGGTGAAATACATGAATTCAGGTATGGTGGTGACATCTAGCAACATAATCGTAGCAATTAGTATGTAAACCAATGACCACAGGCTTCTGGCATTGCAAAGGGACACAACTCTGCACCGCTGCAGTGCCACACATGCCGCGAAACAAGATTGATTGATTGATTGATTGATTGATTGATTGATTGATTGATTGATTGATTGATCGATCGATCGTCACCGCACTCAGCAATATTCCAGCTTTATGGTGTCAGTCTGTAAATAATGGAAACTGGACCAGACAATCCAGTGACTGACAGCATGAGCATAAATCTACATAACTTTGATACAATGACACGTATCAACCAAGTTAGTGTGCCTCACCACACGATCCCGTTAGTCGCCTCTTATGACAAGCATGGATTGCTGAAGACCAATTCTAACCCGGATCTTCACAGGTATGCACTACAAGAATATACTTACTTGATTGAATGAGTCGATGGAGGGCATTCGTTGAAATCTAGAGACATCTCCTTCAAGATGATGGTCGGTACTTCCACTCACAGCCGGTGTACCTGCACAACAGACAAACTAACCCATCAGCAGATCAGTAATACAACTTTTGGAAAATGACTAATCATCCTGATATCCTCAGAGAATCTCTTATCTAACCTTCAGCACATTATGAGGTGAGGTGAGGTGAAATTGGGTTTAACGTCGTGCTTGAGCATATTTCACTCATATGACGACGTGCATGCGTGTGTATGTGTATGTGTGGCTGCTTGTACTAGCCCAGACTGAAGCTGGTTTTATAGTGCTAGCCCACTGAGATACCATGCCGCAGTGAAGCATGAATACCCCACTCAGACACATTATACTGACTCCGAGCTGACCAGTCCTTGTTGTACCCATTTATGCCGAGAGCCATGCAGGGACCAACAAGTACCATATTTTAACGTCTTTTGGTATGACGCGGTCAGGGAAAGCACATTATGAATAAAACCAGAACATTCTACAAACCAGTACTAAAGCCATCAGCAAGTTTCTAAAATGAGTGAGTGAGTAAGTATGGTTTTACGCCGTTTTTAGCAATATTCCAGCTATATCACGGCAGGGGACACCAGAAATGGCCTTCACACATTGTACCCATGTGGGGAATATAACCCAGGCCTTCAAAGTGACAAGCCAATGCTTTAACCATCCAACCGCCCCATTTCTAGAATGAAACCATTAGTCCATAAACACTGGCTAATCCTGATAATACTAGACTGACTGGAGAAATCACTGAATAAAGGTTGATGGGTTTCCCAGCCTTAAGTGAATCCTAGAATAATCAGTGGATGATGTTTACAATAAAGTCTATCCATTAACATAAAATGAAACCCTTGATTGTAAAACATACTAGGATGACTGAAAATGTTTTGGTTTACACCGCTTTAGCTATAAAGTCCAGAAATGCTAACATTGTATGTGGAGAATCGGTCCTGATAAAAACAGTTTTTAACCATAGAGACCCCACCGGAATAAGAATCATTCCACAAGAGAATCCATGAGCACTGAAGGAACTGATGTCTCCTAGAGTAGACTGATGAGTAATGGCTGCTGGAAGTGAGAATGGAATGGGGGAAGAATTGTTTATTAAATATATGCTATGGTTTTTGTGATCATGACTCCACACTCAACTGACCCTGTAGATCCCAGAGGGCCATGACATCTGCTAGCGTCCCTGTCCTCCGCACTTTGACGGTGTGCGTCGCCAGCTCGTACTTGGGTAAGGGGGACATCCTCACTGCATGGGGAGCTCGTCCATCAGGATGCTTGAACACTGGGTCTACCTTGCCTGCTGCAACACACAGAACATTCATCATTATCTCCACCATAAACTTCAGTACCAGTGGGTGAGTGAGTGGGTGAGAGGGTAAAAGGGTGGGTGAGAGGGTTAGTAGGTGAGAGGGTGTGTGAGAGAGTGAGGGTGTGGGTGGGTGAGTGAGGAAGAGTGGGTGTGAGGGGGTGGGTGAGAGGGTTGAAGGGTGGGTGAGAGGGAGGGTGAGTGGAGAGGGTGAGTGAAGAGAGGGTGGGTGAGTGGGTGAGAGGGTGGGAGGGTTAGTAGTGAGAGGGTGAGAGGGGTGGAGTGTGAGAGGGAGGGTTAGTGGGTGGAGTGTGAGAGGGTGAGTGGGTGTGTGAGAAGGTAAGTGGGGTGAGAAGGTAACTGAGTGAGAGGGTGGGTGAGGAGGGTGGGTGAGTGGGTGGGTGTGTGAGAGGGTTAAGAGAGGGTGAGAGTGGGGTGAGAGGGTGAATGGGTGAGAGGGTGAGTGGGTGAGGAGGGTGAATGAGTGAGAAGATTAATGGGTGAGGTGGAGGGTGAGTGAGTGTGTGAGGAGAGGGTTAGTGTGTGAGTGAGAGGGTGAGAGGGTGTGGGTGAGAGGGTGGGTGGGTGGGTGTTTTGAGTGAGTGAGTGAGTGTGATTTAATGCGTGATGTGTAACAATATTCCAATTACTATTTATATATGTATATATATGTAGCATGATGGGTCAGCTCAATGTGGGAGGAGGAAAGCATCATGATCAACAGTGTCAGCATCAATCGACTCCGTTTGGATACGTATGACGTGTCAACCAAGTCAGCAAGCCTGACCAACCAATCGAATTAGTTTGGATGAGTGAGTGAGTGAGTATGGCTTCACCGCTTTTAGCAATATTCCAGCAATATCACGGGCGGGGACACCAGAAATGGGCTTCACACATTGTGCCCATGTGGGGATTCGAACCCGGCCTTCGCTGGACGAGCCAACGCTTTAACCACCAACAGCTAGCTACCCACCCCCTAAGCCTCTTATGACAAATATGGGTTGCTGGAGACCAATTCTAACCCGGATCTTCACAGGTCTGATTTTAATGATGGCACCCCTTTACATCATATAAACTCACTGTCTTCTACATCTAGGGGCCATTGTGAGGATTTGATCAGCTTGGGTCTGGTCTTCTTGGAAGGTGGTTCTTCATCACTGTCATCAGACTTGTTGTTGTCGGTACTGATGCTGAAAGTAAGGACAAATGAGGTTTCTTATTCTTGTTTCTTATTCTTGTGTAGCTCTTTGTCAAACTTTGTCAAACAGTTGCATTGGAAATATAAGTGAGATCAGGGCAGGTGAAATGGGGTTTAATGTCATACTTAAGAATATTTCGCTCATATGACGACGTGCATGCGTGTGTATGTGTATGTGTGGTTGCTTGTACTAGCCCAGACATAAGCTGGCTTAATAGTGCTAGCTCACTAAGATGCCATGCCGCAGTTTAGCATGAATTACCCCACTTAAACACATTAATCTGACTCCGAGATGACCAGTCCTTGTTGTACCCATTAATGCCAAGAGCCAGGCAGGGAACAACACGTACCATATCTTAACGTCTTTTGGTATGACACGGCCGGGGATCGAACCCGCGACCTTCCCCTCTCCAGGTGGACGCTCTAACCAGGGAGGTGGTCAGAAATATAAGTAATCATATGCTGAAAGAAACAGTGCTAGCAAGGAAAGTAAGATTACAGTTCATGGAAGGGTTGGTAGTGTGTTACACTGTGGGACAACTGAAGGCAACTCTGTGTAGCAACAAGGAAAGTTTAGCACCTGTGTGGTATTTTAAGAGCTCAACATTCGTGTACATCACAACATACAGACACATGCAACACATTTATTATAACAAATCAACATGATATCAACTATTGTCAGTTACTTCTTTTTTGTTACACATCAGTTAGCCAATCAAACAGCTAGGTTCTGCAGCAAGTAATGATAAATACCCTTTTATATTACTTGTACAAGACACTGGAAGACGAAGTAGAACCGATGTTCCACGGAACTTGAGCTGTCCGACCGCAATGAGGAACTCTGCTAGAGGCAACTTGTCAACTGTGTCAGCACCAAATAATCTGGAATCATTGCAACATGACTGAAACTCTCCACTACCTCTACAATCCAAACTTCTTCAATTTGAAATGATATCACAAAATTCTTGAAACATACACTTCACCATTTCTATAAAGTGCAACATTAACATGTCTTTCCAACATTTCATCTTCTCCGATAGCAAGTAAAAACATTGGAACCTTTACTATAGGGAAGGTGCACTTACACCACCCCACTTAGTAGTGTTTTGGTTGGTTGATTGGTTTACTTCTCACTCAGCAATATTCCAGCTATACAGTGGCGGTCTGTAAATAATCGAGTCTGGACCTGACAATCCAGTGATCAACAGCATGAGCTACACCACTGGGATACGATGACATTTGTCAACCAAGTCAGCGAGCCTGATCCTGTTAGTCATCTCTTACGACAAGCATGGGTTGCTGAAGACCAATTCTAACCCAGATCTGAAGACTTCCACATGTAGCCAGCCTGGTACACCCATGTACATGCATGGAACACTCCAACAAAACTGGCAAGTTCCTTGAACCAGAAAATACACAAAGTTGGATTTTGAATTCTCCTCATCGGACGACAATACTGTTATCTTTACTGAAATCCTTCAGTTCATGTAAATAAATCACTTTGTTCTGTGTGTTCTGTGAGACAGACTTACTTTGCACTGTTGGTGGCATCCTCTAAGACTGCTTCCTCATCAACAGGGAGGCCCTTCAAGTGCCGCGACGTCTTGAACAAGATCTCTGAAAGTAAACACATGAAGATTATACTGCACTCTCTGCAACATACTGAAACAGAATCTTACTCCTAGAAGATACAAAAGTTTGCTTCAGATCCAATCAAGCATACTATGCATCAATGCAACTCAAATCTCACACATTCCACACACAGCCGATGACCACACAAAGGGGTACACTGGTTGGCTGGTTTGTTGCCAGCAATATTCCAGCTATATGGTGGCCGGTCATTAAATAATGGAATCTGGACCAGACAATCCAGTGATCAACAGCATGAGCATACACCAACTGGGACACAATGACATTTGTCAACCAAGTCAGCGAGCCTGAGCCTGATCCTGTTAGTCATCTCTTACGACAAGCATGGGTTGCTGAAGACCAATTCTAACCCAGATCTGAAGACTTCCACATGTAGCCAGCCTGGTACACCCATGTACATGCATGGAACACTCCAACAAAACTGGCAAGTTCCTTGAACCAGAAAATACACAAAGTTGGATTTTGAATTCTCCTCATCGGACGACAATACTGTTATCTTTACTGAAATCCTTCAGTTCATGTAAATAAATCACTTTGTTCTGTGTGTTCTGTGAGACAGACTTACTTTGCACTGTTGGTGGCATCCTCTAAGACTGCTTCCTCATCAACAGGGAGGCCCTTCAAGTGCCGCACGTCTTGAACAAGATCTCTGAAAGAAAACACATGAAGATTATACTGCACTCTCTGCAACATACTGAAACAGAATCTTACTCCTAGAAGATACAAAAAGTTTGCTTCAGATCCAATCAAGCATACTATGCATCAATGCAACTCAAATCTCACACATTCCACACACAGCCGATGACCACACAAGGGGTACACTGGTTGGCTGGTTTGTTGCCAGCAATATTCCAGCTATATGGCAGCGGTCGTTAAATAATGGAATCAGGACCAGACAATCCAGTGATCAACAGCATGAGCATCGATCTGCACAATTGGGACACAATGACATGTGTCAACCAAGTCAGCGAGCCTGACTACCGATCCCGTTAATCGCCTCTTACGACAAGCATGGGTTACTGAAGACTAATTCTTACCCGGATTATCATGGGCACGTCAGGGGTACAAAGAAAATGTCCAGAGCACAGGTATTAGTTACCTACTCTACAAGGATCTACATTGCCCGACGTCCGAGTCCAGTGTTTTTCTCTGCCGGGCAAGCAAATTTGCATATCACACTGTACCGGTGTCCAGTTGACTTTCCAATGTTAATTATGTTGTTTATTTAAAATCAACAAGAAAACGGACGGTATAGTGGAAAACTTATCAGGGCAAGTGATTTTACATGTGCCACTGTACCAGAGTACACTAGCAATTTCAAAGTTATTTCCACCCCTGGGTTTACTCACTTGAACTCATCAAACTGCAGGAAGTTATCGCTGTTCGAGTCGTAGTATCTGAAGATGTATCTACAACGAGCCTCGGCTGGCATGCCGCCATGCTGGGTGCATGGTTCCATACATGCCAACCCCAACAACAGCTCCTTGAACGTCAGGTAGTTCTTCTTGTGGATGTCAAATGCTCTGCAAGGATAGAGCGTGAAATCACTATGATGATGTTAGAAGTATTTGCTCTGCAAGGATAGAGCGTGAAATCACTATGATGATGTTAGAAGTATTGTTGTATAATAAAAGACCAGGGTTTTATCAGGTATTTTCATTTTTGTTGTTGGTTAATGCCACACTCAGCTTTATGGCAGCGGTCTGAAAATAATCGAGTCCCGACCTGACAATTAAGTGATCAACAGCATGAGCATCGATCTACGCAAATGGGATACAATGATAGGCGTCAACCAAGTCAGTGAGCCTGACCACCCCATCCCTTTAGTTTGAAGTGATTCCTGTCTTGGAAGTTTACAACCATTGTCTTAGACCATTACAGCTCTTCCAAGAAATTATCGGAGCAAATCTGGGATGCAAATCTGGTCCCATGTACAAAAACAAATCTTTGCACTATGATCATAGTAAATTTATGCTTATGCATAGCAGTAACGATCACCTTACTGCTAAAAAGCTATGTGGAACAAGGAGCTCAAACTCTCCACACAACAATATGCCTGATCAAAGCTTATGCCAATCTCTTTAACAACAGAAGAACAGCTTGATAACTGTGTGAAGAACTACCTGAACAGTGGCAGAGGTTTGTCTCCCTTGACTCCTTTAGTGGTGATGTACCGGTCGAATGTCAGGTAGTTCATAGAGTGGCTCGGGTGACAGAAGTCGATGAACTCTTCAAACAACAAGTCTTGTTCTGGAAATAAGATAGTAACAGATTACTTCGTGCCTTTCAATGTACAGACAGTAACTAATTACTTCGTGCTCTTCAATGTATAGACAGTAAATAATTACTTCATGCTCTTCAATGTACAGACAGGAGCTAATTACTTCGGTCTCTTCAATGTACAGACAGGAACTAATTACTTCGTGCTCTTCAATGTACAGACAGTAAACTACTGCTCTTCAATGTACAGACAGTAACTGCTCTTCAATGTACAGACAGTAACTAATTACTTCGTGCTCTTCAATGTACAGACAGTAACTAATTACTCGTGCTCTTCAATGTACAGACAGGAACTAATTACTCTCTTCAATGTACAGACAGGAACTAATTACTTCGTGCTCTTCAATGTACAGACAGGAACTAATTACTTCGTGCTCTTCAATGTACAGACAGGAACTAATTACTCGTGCTCTTCAATGTACAGACAGGAACTAATTACTTGGTGCTCTTCAATGTACAGACAGTAAATAATTACTCGTGCTCTTCAATGTACAGACAGTAACTAATTACTTCGTGCTCTTCAATGTACAGACAGTAACTAGTTACTTACATGCTCTTAATTGTTCAGACAGAAACATATCACTTACATGCTCTTAATTGTTCAGACAGAAACAGATTACTTTTGCAATGTCTAAGAAGTGTTGGGAGTTTTGGGGTTCAAAGGGGTTCAGGATATTCATCATGACATGGTGCTGATATAATACACATGCTGATATAATACACATGCTGATATAATACACATGCAATCATCAGACCTTTCTTAGTCAGTTTGGCCGACTTCACCAGTGTCTCCTGTGGCGTGAGTTGTGAGCCATTCCCTCCATCAATATACTCGACACCACTCTCCACCAAGCTCCCTACAGGGCAATTATCTGAAATAAGGAAATAACTTACAAATCTTTGTCCGTGTCATCCTGTGAGCCATGCAGTTTTCAACAACAGCAGTACTATTGACAACACTTACTATAGTTAAGTGAGTGAGTGAGTGAGTTTAGCTTTCGCCACTTTTAGCTATATTCAAGCAATATCACGGTAGGGGACACCAGAAATGGGCTTCACACATTGTACCCATGTGAGGAATCAAACTCGGGTCTTCAGTGTGACGAGCGAACACTTTAACCACTGGGGTACCCCACCTACTATAGTTAAGCATTAACACATGGGCAGTTCTTGGAGGAGGTTTTATCAGACAGGGGCTTACACAAACTGTATGTTGTACCAGTACGCTGAAATAAGCTTCTCATACAATACATACTGCAATATTTGTTCTGTGTTCCATGATAAAAAGAGTATATAACAAGTATCATTATTTTTTGATTCATTTAACAAATATCTGTGAGTGCCAACTGGTGTGACACTGGCATCATAAATATACTCTCACCTTCTTTGAGCTGCTGAATGAGCCGGAGTGGTTCAAAGCCTAAAAGCCCCGGCTCCATCCCTGGAGCCATCTGCTCTTCCATGTCCTTCTCTGTTAACCATACTGAGGTGTCTGGATACTGAAAATACAACAGAGGTACAGATAAGCTGCGTATCTGCGTAAATTACGCAAACATTCACGTGAAAACTCAATTCCTATTAAGTTTATTGCATACAAGTACGCTTGAAGTTTTGTAAATACTCTATGAATTTGATCTTACATGCATACACACAAAAATGTCAAATCTTAGCTTGCATACCGATGAATTAGTTCCTGTCACCAAACCTACTAGAATTTGGAGTAAGTAGACTGATGTGCTACAGATGGAGGTTACAGAGAATGGATAAAATAACTGAGGTATATTGTGAGGTTCTATTTCAGCACATGATTTTAGCAACTTGCAGTCTTTCTGATCGTTTCTCATATTACAGATCAAATATAAATAACAAACACGTAAACCTACATTTAAACTTTATTATATTTTTACAATTAATTGAAAATAGCAAAATACCCAATTGAATTTGAGTGAGGTGGATACAATTTATTTGGTTACTCAAAGGAAAATTAGGATACCCAATTGAGATGAACACAAGCGAGTACATAACTCAATGACCCAATAATGTTATCTGTAGATGGCTTTTGAGTCCTTTCTGATTGACTTGTGATAACTATTAGGGCTGGCTAAATAAATTGATAAATTGGAAATATCATCAATGGGAATGATTATTAATGATTGTCGACATGAGTGAGTGAGTTAAGTTTTACGCCACACTCAGCAATATTCCAGCTATATGGCGAAGGTCTGTAAATGATAGCGTCTGGACCAGACAATCCCATTATTATTGACATGAAGATTGTGTCATCTATAACAAGTGTTTGCCACTGATATGGCAATGTCCCCCACCGCCAAAGAATGGAATATCTATATTTACTACTTTTTATTTTGGGGTCACATACAAGATGACTGAAATGGCTGGTGTCTGCATAATCACCCAATGTAGGCTGTCAACATACTTGAAACATTGGGTGCAATGTTTTATGAGATATCTGCTTTAAAAAGCGGTCAAAGTATCGTGGTGACCTTGAAGATAAGGTCAAGGTCACCTAAATAAACTGGTGACTGTGTAATACTCCAATGTATGCTGTCACCAAATTTGAAGACATTGGGTACAACATTTCAAGAGATATCGCGTTAACAAGAGTTAAAAGTGTGAAAAGTGTCGTGGTGACCTTGAAGATAAGGTCAAGGTCACCCAAAATCAACTGTTGTCTGCGTAATCCCCCAATGTATGCTGTCACCAAATTTGAAGACATTGGGTACAACAGTCCATAAGATGCCGTGTTAAGAAGAGTTTGAAAAGTGTTCAAAGTGTCGTGGTGACCTTCAAAATAAGGTCAAGGTCACGCAAATCAACTGGTGTCTGCGTAATCCCCCCAATGTAGGCTGTCACCAAATTTGAAGACATTGGGTACACCAGTTCATGAGATATCCTGTGAACAAGAGTTGGAAAAGTGGTCAAAGTGTCGTGGTGACCTTGAAAATAAGGTCAAGGTCACGCAAATCGACTGATGTCTGCGTAATCCCCCAATGTAGGCTGACACCAAATTTGAAGACATTGGGTACAACAGTTCATGAGATATCGCGTTAACAAGAATCGGTACGTACGTACGGACGGACAGACGGACGCTGGTGAATACAAAGTCCCCTGTTCCGCGCTGTGGCGGGGGACAATAATGTTATTAAACTTCTGTGATCAAATAGCATTTGGATATACTGAAACAATACACATGGTTTAGATCTTTATTCATGGCTTGCTTCTAAATTATGTTCAGGACGGTGTTTTGTTAATAATCCCAAACATGTCAACACACACACCGGTGACGTGCAACATGTTGATTTGTTTCAGATTTATTGTCATTTTTGCTCAAGGCTACTTTTCCGATATTTATCAATATTAGATCAATTTTCAGTTAAAAATTATCAATCTCTATGATCTTGAATAGTCAGGAAACATATAAAACTCAGCTGTTACAATTCACTTGCATATTCAATAAACCGAACCATATTTCTTCATGAATTCATTTCATTATTCACAATCACAAGAATCAAATTACATGTATATGAAATTCATATTTCAATATTTTTAAACATGAGACTTTTCACTTGAATTTTTATTATTATTTATCAAAGCAAGATAATGAATATATCCAAGCTGGGCAGAATAATAGTAAAAACTCATATATTTCATTTGACAGCAATGGGGTTACTAGTCACTATCATCACATATTAACACTGTCAACATAGTCCAAAACATCAACTGGTGCTGCGCTATGATATTCACAAAAACATTCATATTTCTTACCCTATATTCTGATATACAGTACAACCAGAAATTATTGAGAATTTAAAGATTGTAAATTTTTTTTTTTTTTCACTCATTACTCACCTATTAAATGTGAATATTAGCAGAACATAACTCCACATTCAAAGACAGGTGAACAGTTAGTATTTTGTCAAGTCACCATGGGCAGCAATGCAGGCTTCAACGCGGCGGGGACATACTACTGATCAAAGAAGTTAGAAAGTCGTGGTCCATGCTGTCCCAATATCGGACCACCTCTTCTTTCATTTCAGCAATATTTGTCAGATTTTTCTTATTGACGCTTTCCTTCATAAGTCCCCAAACATTTTCTATTGGATTTAGGTCAGGGTTATAGTATGGCCAATCTAATAATGTCATATTTTGGGTCCGAAACCAGGCCTGTGAATGCTTTGAACGATGTTTTGGGTCGTTGTCCTGCTGGAAAATCCAAATATTTCCATAGAACACTTGAGCAAATGGAAGTAAATGTCCCTCGAGAATATCTGTGTACCGCTCACTGTTCATATTCCCTTCAAATACACAGAGGGGCGTTGCCCCTAACACAGATATGCCACCCCACACGTTAAATTTCGGACTGTACTTTGGGCGCTGATACAAAGGTTTTTCAGTTTGTTTGGTCCAGAATTTCAGTGTATTAGGAAACAGCCACACAGAACTTTCATCTGAGAAAATCACATTGTCCCAGTTAAAATTTCTATGCTGTAAGCACCAGTTCAACCTTCACTCCTTTTGTTCAGGTTTCATGATTGGTGATGGAATTCCTTGACTTTTCTTCCAACCAATTGCATGCAGCTCAGTTCTAATTGTCTCCTTACAGACAACCACAGTTCCTCTATCAATCATATCCAGCCTTAAGTTTTCTTAACAACTTTGTTTGTTTTAGAAACAAGAATACCAAGCCGCCTCCTGTCACTGACAGTCAATTTTCTGGGCCTACCTGCGCCTCCCTGGTGCTCAATGCCATATCCATTTGCAATATTTTTCAAAACACGATAAACAGTGGACAAAGGGATGCCTGTTCTACTTGAAATCACTTTAGCTGATCTGATGTCCTTGTTATAATCAACTTCCTCTTCTTCTCTAAATCATCCATACTGAGGATCACTGAAAATGTCGTCTGCTAGCAAGTAAACAAAGGGGGATAACTCTTCACAAACTAATGAAAAAGGATTAACGGAGTTGTCTCTCTTGAATGAAACCAAGCACTTGATAGCTGGTCAAGGTTGTTTATACTAGAAATCAAATTAAACATATTCCTAAAATTCTCAATAATTCCTGGTCATACTATATGTCATATTCATCTCATAGTGGACTTTTAGAATAAACAATACATCATAATTGCCAGCAGAAAGCCATGCAGCCAATAAGCAAAGAATAAAATCATGCAATCCAATGATGTTGAGTTATAAAGTGAATTACTACAACAGGTCACGTGTTGTACATAGACTATATGGATAAGAGTAGCACCCTGTATTCTTTAAACTATGATATTATAACAGATATGTAAAAATTCTACTTAGCATGTTAGGATTGTACGATTTTATCGATGGAATTTGAATATTATTCGTGCTGATGCACATTAGATAATGAGGTAAATCCATTAGGCTGGAACATGTAAAAATTAATATACTATAGATACAGAGCTAGATACACACATAAATGCATATATTATCTGTTTAACTTGACAGCAATGTGGTCACTGGCCCCTGTCATGATAAATAAACACTGTCAACATGGTCAAAACGGGTCAAAGAATTTATTTTGTTTCACTCAATATTTTGAATAATAAATCAACTATTGCATTCATTATAGTCTTATTTGTTACTTAATATTCGGGATATGTATCCATATTCATCTCATAGAAGATTTGTTGCAACCCATGTACACATGATCACTGATTCCAGCCAGGCTTTCACATGTTTTAGTCCCAATTTTGACAGTGGAATTTCACATTTCTGTAAATGATCTAGCCAGTTGTCCCAATTTTGACAGTGAGCTTACCTGCCGTCCCAATTTTGACAGTCCTCAGCCCACACATATTAATTAATCCCTGATTAGCCAGTGATTATGGGAACTACTGTAACAGAAGCGTGATACGACTAAAAACTAAGACTAAAACATACAAGAGTCATCAGAAGATGACAAATCCCCCCAGCCCCCATATATTTGAAAGAACAAATCATCTGACAGTTACTTAAACTCCAGCTTCATATTTTTTAGACAAAAGTCCAAATTGTTTCCATGGAAACCGGGAAAAATAAAAATGACAAAAATCTGCAAAAATAGCAAAAGGCACCACTTTGGGATCTGCCTCACATATATGCCAAGTTTTGCTGAAAGAAGATAAGAAGTTTTCTAGTTGTGCTCCGGAAACGAAGCCCACCCCTCCCTTTTGAGACTAAGTCCGAATCGTTTCAGAAACCGAGAAAACAATAAATCACAAAAATCTGTAAATAGCAAAAGGCACCACTATAGGTTCTGTTTGATATATCTACCAATTTTTGCAGAAAAATATTGAAAGATTTTTGAGTTATGCTCCGGAAACAAAGCTCACCCCTCCCTTTAAGACAAGTCCAAAACGTTTCCGTGGAAACCGCGAAAAATATAAATGACAAAAATTGTAAATAGCAAAAGGTGCCACCTTAGGTTCTGTTTGATATATCTATCAATTTTTGTTGAAAAATATTGAACTGTTTTTGAGTTATGCTCCGGAACAAAATGATTACAGACAGATGAGGCGTCAACCATAAAAAAACTCGTAAAAAAACTAAAACTAAAACTGTTTTTTCTTGAAAATCGATGGACATCTTCACAAGACCGGTAGAAAGACGAGGGTCCTAATTTCTGAATATTCCTGTAAAGAGCTTGGCCAAAATGAAAAAGCCAGTTCTTCAAGATAGAAGTGGAGAAGACATCTCTAACAACATTATATGAACAGCTATTTTGAAGTCCATGACCAGTGAAGCAGGTTTAGATGTCAGATGGTGTTTGGCTGCTCCAGTCATTAATAGGGTCCAAAAACAATAACTATTATCATCTGGAAGCAGTATTAGTGTTCAGGAACTTCACACCTTAACGGATCAGTGACCAAGACGCTGTCAAAAATGGGACACTACCCTTTCACTTAATTACCAGAGTGTATAGTATGCTGTATAATGTTATTGAATTCCCATCTTTACAGAACCCTCAGATCATGCATTCTGCAGGCATGGACCCTTTTGGGGTTTTAAGTCATGGTAGCTCACTCCATACATTGTGAAATATACAGTCGGACACTGGGGCCGGGTGGGTTGTAGACTTCTATCGGACTGGCATATGTGGTCAAAATATGTTCAAAACTTCAAAACAACAGTATAAAAATCACTGATTATACCTTATAGCTAAAAGCTTAACATGCTTAAAACAGCAATTGTTTTTACAAGGTATTCCTACTGTCATGAAAGTGTTCACTTTGATTAGTATCTAAGAAAGTGTCGCAACCCAACAGTATGCACAACAAACCTCTTTTTGAAATATTTCAACAAAAATATAGAATGCAGATCATCTAACATGTTTAACACCAAAGAATAATTAGCTGTGACAGGTGTTGTTCTAAGTGATTCATTTCCTCATTCAGTGAGAGGTTGTTTGAATGAACTCATGAAACCTGTAACTGATTTTTTTCATCAGTTCAGTGAATTTGTTGGGGCTGAATAATTAAGCATGACATATACACAATAACACAGTAGGTTGATGACGCACATGGTTTTAAGGCCTGTAGTATAATGTGATACAGAGTTAGTGAATATAGTAAACCATCATTAACAAATGTTGCTGCTTCATATATTGTTATTAACATAATGTACACAAGAAGACAAAGTCTTCAATATCCCCCACAATGGCAAAATACTCTTCATAAATAACTCTACAAGTTATGATCAAATGTTTTGACGTGTATATAGCTAAGTGGAAGGAGAGTACTGAAAGGTTTCAAAATTTCTTCTCCAGAAAAGAGCACTACCACCAAATTCAGTTGAAGCCAAAATTGTTGCCATGGAAACGCAAAAGAACCCATTTTATTCAGAAATCCAAAACTAGCAAAAGGCACCAGTTCACCACTAGACCTACCTATGTATGAAATTTGGTGATGACACAGTGAACAGTTTTTAAGTTCTGCTCTGGACAAGAGCACTACCACCAATTTAAGTCAAAGTGAAACTTGTTGCCATGGAAATGCCAAAAATATTTTATTCAGAAATCCAAAAATACCAAAAGGCACCAGTTTACCACCAGATCATCTCTGTGCCAAGTTTGGTGAAGAAATATTCAACAGTTTTAGAGTCCAGAAAAGTCAAAGGTACACGGACGCACAGGTGGACGGACAGAGTCCATTTTAATACCCCCCGCAAAAAGGGTTGAGGGGGGTAATTATAAAGAATAAACAGAAATGGTAATGACAAAAATGAAAGAAGGAAACATCCCTACAAATACATCTGTAGTAGGGCTGCAATGAATCCACTATGAGGTGAACATGATACACATCATATACTGGGTAATGAATACAGATATTGACAAATACAATAACACGTCAACAGTTGATGTAATATTCAGATTATTCAGTGAAAGAATAACAAAATACATATTTGATATGTTTTACCATGCTGACAGTGTTAATTTATCATGAGTGAGTGAGTGAGTATGGTTTTACGCCGCTTTTATCAATATTCCAGCAATATCACGGCAGGGGACACCAGAATGGGCTTCACATATTGTATTCACGTGAGGAATATATACTTTATCATGACAATGACCAGTGACCACTGTCAAATTATAAAAGAGCATTGACTATCATCCTGACTGGTGTGGATATATTCCATATAGCATATCTATTGTTTTGATATATAACACTCAAATTCAAGGAAAAACACTCTGTTTTATATAATTCATAATGTTTTTATTCTAGTGACCTTGAATAACAAACTGATTTCATGAAGGGTCCAATACAGTCTGATTCACCAAATATGCACACATTCTTAATGCCAATAGTATTTGACTAACATATTTCTACTAACCTGTTCTATGCTTGTGAGGGGTGATGTAAGAAAGATGACATGTGTTGATGAAGGTCGGTGAGAAAATCTTGTGATGTTGGTGCGTAATACGCCTTTCAAAGCTACCCTCTGTCCACATACCTAAAACAGAAAAATGGCCTAGGATTAATATGATAAGTTAGACAGCAATGCCAACAACAACCCTATTAAATACAGAATGTCTGAATCCTCAAGTCATCTGACCCATGATAACACATTTATCATCCAAAACTGTGTTCCACAGGAGATATCGCTTGTGTGAGATCAAACGATATCTCCTAGGAGATATCGTTTTGACAGTAGATTTTGTACAATGCCCTGACAATGTGATGACGTCATGTACTTGATGACGTCACAATGCTATGACATCGCTGCACTGCAAGTCTAATGGCAGTACCATGTTCAGAGATGTACATTTTTCATTGAAAATTAATGAAGAGTGATTTTGGATGATAAATAGAATCTCACCCTCGTGTCTTCTGACATCAAATATATCAACACTCGTTGATAAAGTAAAAATATCCTCGGCAAGCCTCGGATATTTGTAACTTTATCAACTCGGGTTGATATAATTGATATCAGAAGACACTTGGGTGAGATTCTCTATATCCCAACACGAGCTGAATTCGACGTTCTGGTGATTTCGACAATTGCATTGCCCGCGCTATATCGGGTGAGTACGTGTGAGATCGGAGTGCACAAACAGTTTCACTGGTAGGGCGGGTGCCCAGTCGCTGTCATGAGAAGTTTTATTGACAATGGAAATCGGGAAGTAAAGTTATATAAAAAGCAAACAAACATCAATATTATTTACCCGAGATCGTTAATACCACTTTAGATGCAAAATCAGTTGCCTTTATTACAAAAAATAGCAAGCGAAAATTCAGTGAGATCAGTCGTCTGCTGGTGACAGGCAATATATAAATAGGAAGCCACGTGATCACAACACTCCCTCACAGTGCGGAGCAAAAAGTATGGCTCATCGTCGAAAACCCATACAAAATACCCGGATGTTACGAGCGGCCACTGTTTCGCCGATACGATGTCATCAACGCTATTTTTGTAGGAAACACTTGATATTTTTGTGTTAAATAGATGAATATATCCTTTATCATTTAAGGTTAGTAAAATAAAAACTTTAAATGATATTACAGATAAAAATTACGTTTTTGTCTTACATCGTCGAAAACCCCTGACACAGGGATACTTTTCAACCACCGAACATAACACAACTTCTCTAGATCAGGTGACATCTAGACATGATGAGACTAAGAATAATAAAATAATGTAAATAACAGGTCTATTAGAAAAAAATCAGAATGCACATTTTGTACTCTGGAGGATAGTGGAATATTCCTTAAAATGATGTCCTGAATATAGACAATTTAAATGATTATGATTTCACTGGGCCGGTTTACTTCCTTGAAACATTTTCTTTGGTACTTTGTGACTAACATGAACATTGTTATTATACAATTCCATATAATTGATTCCAGATAATGCACTAGTTAAATCAATCCAGTTTTCAGTGTGACCTGCAAACGTCAGTAAAAGTCAGTGTGTGCATTTCATGCAGACGATCTTATTGACGTGAGTCATGAAAGCGTACCTCTTCAGCCAAGTGCAGAGCAACGGATTTCAGAGTTTCGTTTTTATGCCTCTCCGCTGTTGGCAGCCACAAACCCTTGTTATCATTGTTCACTAACAAAATCTTTCCGTGACTTGAGTCGGAGATAAGTACACTGACAAATTCTGTGCTTTTACGTGACATTTTTAGACTACATTCCTAGTTTTTGGAGGTAAACAATAAATCTATATAATCAACACAGTGTAGAAATATCATAAACTCCCTCTCTTGGCGTTGTAAAGGCAATGTTAGGAGCTAGCAAGTGGTCGCGTGTCCATTTCCGGTATGTCCTAGGCAAATATTAAGGAAGTATGAATGACACAAGATGGGTTCTCAATTGAGAAAGAAGACACTATTCATTGAATTATGTCATAATACGATATGGTAATGTATATCCCATTCCTTGTAAATCGCATTCTCGATTTTGACAATGGATACTCATAACTAACCCTTACACAATAGGACATCGCGCATGCTCTAAACATGAGCACATGTTGTGAGGAAACGCAGTAAGTTTGAGCAGGAGGGTGATAAATATCTTTTGACGAATTGAGAATGTGATTGTAGTCATCCAATTTGATAATATACAATTATAGTGCCCAAACATAGGAATTGTTTTTGTAACATTACCGTGCCTGGGACCCTTATCAAACTATACTTTATATGGTAATTAATGTTTCGGCTTTTAGTTATTTTTATGAGCTCTCTAGTAATTGTTGTGTTAGGTTTTGTTAATGATTTTAGTATATATCAATTTATAAATATTATTTGGGATGGGGGGAACGGAGGAACTCTTACCGCAATGAGGATTGATCACTGGATTGTCTGGTCCAGACTCGAATATTTACAGACCAGCACCATATAGCTGAAATATTTCTGAGTGCGGCGTCAATCAATTAGAATCGGCTAAAGGGCAAAGACTATCAGACAGAGTACACATTCACGGTTCATTTCTGTCTCTCTTTGTCATATATATGATTAATTTCAGTTAAGGAGTAGTGGATGGTTCAACTTTAAGCGAAACACACAGCTCCAGAGTTCAACCTTCAACATGCAGACACAGTGTGAAGTTTGTACAGAAGAGGCAGCCAAGTACAAGTGTCCTCAGTGTGTCCTCAGATAGTAAGTTATACACATTGACAAAAAAGTGTCTTCTGTTCTTCTTTCACAACATATTTTTAATAAGAACACAATTAAGCATGTTCTCACTAACAATTAACATATTCCCTCCACTAGTCACGGCATGTATTACTTTCAAACACTGTTTAACCTTTATCATGTTGATGTTTCATCACAATGATAATCAGGAAAATTCTGTCCAACTGGCATTCACTCAAGCCCAGGCATTTTATTCAAGCTCCAGCATTTAATTATGTTCATACAGTAACGTGCCTTATCAGGGTGATAGAAACTGAGAAATACAATAAGTGTCACAAGAGTGAAGCATTTTGGAGCCTTTAGTCGTCTAGTTGTATGATTTGAAAGTTAAGTCCCTTTTATGCGCTAGGATACACTGATCCTAGTTGGATTCCAGATTCCCCTTATTGATGATTCTTGTTATCAGCATATAACCTTTGAGGTTCTCTGTAGCCAGTGAGAGGCGAAACGGCCTACCGCCTCTTTTACACGGGATGGATAGGCTCTGCATAACTAAGTGAAGCACTTGATCCCATTTAAATCAATCACTGTGGAACCACTTGATCTGGTGCAAACATGGCGAGGGATGATTGAAGCACCCCATAAACTTCCCCAAGCACGGTGGTCAATTGGGTTCACTCACATTGTGCCTACATGACATTCTGCCTACAGTCCTATAAACATATATAGGGAGTGTAGGCACATTGGCAATGGAAAGTGAAAACATTCATCATCCCCATGTCTACATGGTCTGATCCAATTAAGTAACAGATAAAAAGAACAACATTCAGAGTGCATCAATTATTAAGATGATAATGATACCATCAAACATAGCATTATGTAAAGACACTTTTCATATCCATCATCTCTACACAAAATACAGTTCATTAAAGATTGAGTTTGGGCTCTTTTCCTTCTGTTAGCATCCTCAATGCTTTGTAGATGAGAGATGAATTCAAAGACATTTGGGTGTGCTCTTCTCAGTGATTTGTTTAATTGGGAATGCCAACCCTTCAAGTGATCGTTCGTACGAGGACCATCGTTACCGAACTGATTCCACATGGACACTTTAAACATAGCATCGTCCTCTACCCAGGTTGTTGTCACATTGTCTGCAAATGAGGGCTGGTTTGGTCTGTTATCAACATGATCAAGTGCTTCTGTCCAAGCTTCTTGTACCATGTCAATGGGCAAGAAAGGAAGACGTGCTGCTCGACGAACTAAAGCTTGCACTCCAGCATCTCTCTTGTAGTCTGTAACAAGTCCAATGGTTTGCACTTTTCTCAGCATACATTGGCTGTAGTGAAATAAGCAGCCTCTAACCTCACAGTCCGGGAAGACTTCTTCGATGGCTTGAACGGCAGGTAAATCAAAGTATGTGCTGCATCATTGTCGTCAAGGGCGTTAAGCTCCTCATTGTAAATCTGCTGCATGGGGGGACATTTCTTCTCTGGCATGGTTTCTTAACTTGCTGATGAAGCAGAGACTCTCAGCATCTTCAATCTTGGTGACTGTGTGGGGATACATATCTCACACAGTCACCTACTGGTAAGGCGACCTTTACAATTAGAAATGATGCATTTCCAGTGTGTGGCAGTTTGGCGATGGTTATTGAGACGATATCTGAAGTCTCCAAAGAGAACCTGCTGACCTGAGAAGTCTGAGAAGTAATATACTCTAGTCTCTGAAGCTCTGCTATTGTACAGTTTATCTGAGAAACTGTATCTAACTCTATATATAAGGCTTTTTACTTTTTTGTTTTGACATTTCTGCTTTTATGAGCAGTGTTGTATCAAATGCTATATAAATAAACTGCTTTATTCCTTTCGTTTTAACAGTACAGCTTCATAAGCCCAAAAGCCAGGAGTAGCTTGATAAATGTGTTTATTTAGTCTACAGAGTCTACTGTATATGTTTTGGACTGGTTTCTGGACTGGTCCATTTGTCGTTATTGGGTGAGGAAGGGTGTTATTATTTGTCAAAGTGCCTACACATGCAGAACCTACAGACTGTAATATGTTGTTTTAAGACTGTAGGCAGAATGGCATGTAGGCACATTGTGAGGACACCGTCAATTGTCACTCGTAAATAAACAGGTTTCTCGATCACAGATTGCACACTTTGATCATTTGCTCTCAAGAGATTACGAAGGATGAAAAATTGTATTCTGGTAATGGGGTATGACCTATGGAATTTTCCTGTTAATGTTACTGTTAGTTTATCTTGCAGGAATGTCAAAGTTAGTCTAATGTTATATTTATTTTGTTTCTTTTCTTTTTGTAGCTGTTCTGTCCAGTGTTACAAGAAACACAAAGGTATGTCATTACCAGCCACTTGTAAGTGGGATCTCAGTCATTTCAGCTTTTTTGGTGACCTTCATGTAAGGTCAAAGTCAGTAAAGGTCATATAGCTGATTCTGATATAACTAAAATTACTGACATAACTGAAAGAATTTTAAGGCAGGAGACATCCCTGACCCATACAGTTACTCCATCTCTCACATACTCTGTTTTGTTATCGGGGCAGTGGGGTAGCCTTGTGGTTGAAGCATTCACTCGTCACACCGAAGACCTGGGATCAATTCCCCTCATTGGTACATTGCACTCACTCACTCATTTACACTCTCACCCACTTACCCTCTCACACACTCACCCTCTCACTCACTCACTCACTCACTCACTCACTCACTGTATTGTTATCATGGTTATAGCCCTACGATATACATTTCAGAAACGTGTGCAAGAAAGGATGCCAATAGAAAGGATCCGGGATCCGAGACGTTAGAAAAAGAAAGGTTTCAAGAACAGAAAGGTATGTTGAAAGGATATGTACATGCTAATTGATGGCACCTCCCAACAGAAAGAACCGCCTCCGTGGTGTATTGGTTAGAGCGTCTGCCCAGAGAGCGGAAGGTTGCGGGTTCGATCCCTGCCTGCGTCACACCAAAAGCGTTAAAATATGGTACTTGTTGGTCCCTGCCTGGCGCTTGGCATTAATGGGTACAACAAGGACTGGTCGGCTCGGAGTCAGTATAATGTGTCTGAGTGGGGTATTCATGTTTCACTGGGGCATGGTATCTCAGTGAGCTAGCACTATAAAACCAGCTTCAGTCTGGGCTAGTACAAGCAGCCACACATACACATACACACGCATGCACGTCGTCATATGAGCGAAATAATCTTAAGTGCAACATTTAACCCCACCTCACCTCACCTCACCTCACCTCATGGATAGACAGGGGCGGTGGGGTAGCCTAGTGGTTAAAGCATTGGCTCGTCACGCCGAAGACCTGGGTTCGAATCCCCACATGGGTACAATGTGTGAAGCCCATTTCTGGTGTCCCCCGCCGTGATGTTGCTGGAACATTGCTAAAAGCGGCGTAAAACGAAACTCAGTCAGTCATGGATAGACACACCACTACAATGGAATCTGTCTAAACTGGCACTCGTCGGGACTGAAGAAATAATCCGGTTTAGACAGCGTGCCGGATTGTAGAGCTGACACAGTTACCTACGACTGTTGTATCACATGTCAATCACTGCACACACTGACAATAAAAGACAAAGATTTGAGCTCATATTCACTTTTATTCACTTAATAATATAAATATGATAAATCAACATCGTCAAAAACAATCAGACATTTTGGTTTGTTTATGACTCCTTGCCACACACCGGATTAGGCAGCGCTGATTACTGTATAAGCACATATTCCGGCGGCTTATTTCATGCTGAGATCTGGAATTGACAGCTGCCTGATTGCAGAGCTTTTATATGATGTTAAAAGTACTAACCATGGACGCAACTGAGATTTTATGCTGGTGTTGACAACTTGCCAGATTGGACAGCTGCCAGTTTTGACAGTTTCAACTGTAGTATATTAGTCTGGTACGTACGACAATACCCGCGAAGATCACTCTCTTTCTTTCTTCTCACATTAAGATGGGGCGGTGGGGTAGCCTAGTGGTTAAAGCGTTGGCTCCTCACAACGAAGACCCGGGTTCGAATCCCCAATTGGGTACAATGTGTGAAGCCCATTTCTGGTGTCCCCTGCCGTGATGTTGGTGGAATATTGCTAAAAGCGGCGTAAAACCAAAACTTAGTCAGTCAGTCAGTCAGTCTCATATTAAGAGATAATGTTGTAAGTGTCAATCGACCCATGATGATCCAAGTTAGAATTGGTCTTCAGTAACCCATGCTGGTTGTAAGGTGTGACTAACGGGATCGGTGGTCAGGCTCGCTGACTTGGTTGACACATTGCATAGATTGATGCTCATGATGTTGATCACTGGATTGTCAGGTCCAGACTGGATTATTTACAGACAATAGAGCTGGAATATTGCTGAGTGCAGCGTCAAACAACAAACCAGCCAACCGACAAGTTGTTTTCTAGCGTCTGACATAAGCCACTTGTCTGAAATGACCTAGTTTGATGTGAGCGGTGGTATGTACCCCAACTTATACTGTTTACTTTCTCAGCTCCATGAGGAATATATAATACAGCATCAAGTTGTATACAGCTTAAACACTATTAAAAGCTGAAAGTTGCCCCATTTCGCTCACACTGTACAGGAGAGACCAGCCATTCCACATATACTGATATTGTTCTTTATAAGAACTGCAGCTACCTTGAAACGCCAAATACATATGTTTGTTTCCATGGTTACAGAGGAGGGTGAGCTGTCAGACACGGAGCTTGAGACAACGGAAGACAAAGTGGATAGACACCTACTGGATAAACTAGGTATGATGTGTTTCTATATTTCATGTGACTGTTGATGGTTGTTGCTGAGATGATGGTAGTTCTTATGTTTACATGGTCATTGTCAATACAAGGGCTGTAACAATGCATCGAACTATTGATGGATTGCAATTGTTGAGTGTCTGATAGCAACTAATCGATGGTAGAAACGAAAAACTATCGATGCATTGATAGCATGTGTGACTATCAATAGTTTAGTAATGGACTTCCGTTGATAAATGCACAGCGCAAAAAATACAGGAAGTATCAGATTCGTTCACTTTGATTTGGAGTTATCTGCCCCTGTTACCTCTTAAACTTGATCTGGGTCTCATGTTACTTGTCAGTTATTTATTACAAGAGACTGAATTACTTCAGCTTGTGTTTATTTCATAACTATACATTCATTTGGGAAATGACTTCAAATCAGATAATTCAAGGGAAAAAAAACTATGGTTGGTCGCAATAGTATGTTGCAATAGACTATCGTATCACAATAGTTGTTTCTCCCTCAATAGTCACTCCTAGTCATTACTTCACAGGCTTTATATACACTAACATTACATTCCTCAATCGCCGTGGATACATACTACTGATTACCAAGAAGCTCCTACAATATATGACCGCAAATAAAGTAAAATTTTGAGGACCAAAACAAGCAATCTGTAGGAAGAGGTTGGCTTGTCTATAGGTTACACTTTCATCAAACTCACTTTTCTGGTGGTAAGAAAACTACATGTGAACAAACAGAACATTACTTTTGTCTGTGAAGACCTCAAATTTGCAATTAAACATACTAGACAAGATTATTTACCTTTTCAGTTCTAATTTATTTTTACTAATTTCATTCTATGATATACAGGGATTAAGAATACCATGTGTATTTGTCCCAGGAAGCAGAGCTGGAAATAGCAGTCTGTTACGGTTACTAATACTAGTATATGCCAAAACTTCCACATCCAAAAACTTCCACGTCCCAATACTACCACACATGTTAAAACAACAACTCCTCATCACCCCTTTTTAGGTAATAGGATAGCCCGGGAAGTGCACTGAACTGAAACAACAGATAATGATACTTCACCTGATTTAGGAGAGTAGAGATTTTAGTAGAGAAGAAAGCAGTTAGTTAATATATCTGAAATATATATAGAAGTTTGTGCATACTTCATGTAGGCAAAAAACGTTAAAAAAAATGTCTTGTTTTACCTTGAAATGTTGTTGATTACGTTCATAGTATTCTGAATATACAAAACATAAATTATGCAAGCTTAACGTATATTTAATGTACATGTATATTAAACTATGTAGTTTTACAAAATAACATGGCCAATGAGTTTTGAATTTTTATATTTATTGCTTAAAAGGGGCCAACAAGCCAAATATCTGTTACATTCAGACAGTGTGCAAAATAGCCACTGGCCCGCTAGCCCATGGCTAGTAAAAATCCAGTCAGACCAGTAAATCTCCACAGTCACTGGCCCATTTTGTACATATATCACTCTCTCTGACTTGTTATGTTATAATACACTTTTAAATCATGTATGATTATGGCCTGATAAAAATGTGCATCCTATAAATGTTCATCAGCGTAATGATGAAACCTGTGTCATGCCGACAATATCTTACTCTCATTTATTTTTGTAATCATTTGCTTAGTTTCTACATTCAAATTTCGGGGCTTGTAAATTTTTAGTGGGCTAGTAACTTTCAGGTATAGCTAGCCTGTTTGGCTAGGAAAAATTGGAAACTATTTTGCACACTGCATTCAGAGAGTATTATGAAATTCGTTTTCTTCCACAAAGTGACTGTTACGAATTAATGTTCTTGTGAGAGTGGTCTTGGAATTACCGGTGTATTTTCTGTCTTCTGTGCAGGAGAATCGGAGGACCTGAAGAACCTTCTCCAGAACCCCCATTTACGTGTGATGATGTCGGCGCTGGTAGGTGCTGAAAACCCTGGCAAACTCATGGAGGAAGCCATGAAGGAACCGATTTTTTACTGAATTTGCCGATGAGTGCTTGAAGGTCATAGAGCCGGAGCAGACATGACTGCGGCTGAGGAAACTGACTAGATGTGTTATATTGTAAAACAAGAAAACAGCTGTTGAAAAATGTGAAAGACATTATATGAAAGAATGCGAGGGTGACATCACCAGTGACAATCAAGTCTTGGATGTATACATGTTGGTATGTTTGGCCAATGGTCTGTTGATAATCTGTTAATGATCTATGGATGATATGTGGATGGTCTGTGGTGTTCAAAGCTGGTGAAGGAAACAGTCAAGTGGAGTCCTGATATCATGTCACAGAATACAAGGCATCACTGTCCATTGACAGTGGCCATATTACACAGCTAAGCTTGACATGTTGATCAACAAGATAAACAAGATGGCCACTGCATCTCCAGGTTCACCAGTTAGTAATGTGCTCCTTGATCCTCCAGTGACGGCAACATGCACAGGTTTCACATCATTAGACTGGCACATCAACAGCCTGTGGTCCAGTGTAGATCTAGTCTAGTGGCCAGTCCAGTGTTATACTGTTTCAGCTAGCATGAAAACAAATATCTTAGGGGCAGATACAGCTTTTTGAGAAAGAGGGGGTGCACACTTCATTTTAACAGTTTCAATGGTCATTTAATAAACTTACAGGACAAAAGGAGGGGTGCGCACCCTGCATGCATGCACGCATGCACACACACACTCTCTCTCTCTCTCGCTCTCCCTTTCCAGTCTACACCCAGAGTTATTTTGGCCCACTCACTCACTCACAGGTCTTGTGCTTCCTGCTGCTCTGTATAGAGGGAGATAACACACTTTGTGGAGGACATAATTACAGTTACTGCCTGTGCTATATATATTGCAAACGGGAGCCATTTTCAATGTGTAAGATTTCAAGTAAAGACATTGCAGTTATGATTAATAAATATCTCGTTTTGTTGAAAGGAATATACACATGAAGCAAGATATCTGTTTCATTGTATTTCTGTGTTAGTTATCATCAGTTGATTGAGTATTGTCATAGCAATGACTGATAAAAGCTCCACATTAAATATCTTTTTTGCATAAACTGGCCTCTCTCATTGCTTGTCTCTGTGATATCTGTGATTGCTTACATCAGTGTGAAACATATCTGAAACAGGATAAGTGGTTGACTGTGTGTCTTCCTACTGGATGACCTGGATGTTGCTCACATACCAGTCACTGGTTTATGGTTTATGTAGGCAATAGAACATTAATAGCTGTACGGCCAGGCTTACCTCCCCTGGTTGTTTACAGTCATAACAGACTTCATCATAGGAGAGGCTACGGGGATGGAGCCGTATCCGGAAGACTGTCTGTACTATTATTTATGAGCAAGTCAAGATTCAAGGCCTTTTCCCGAGCTTTCCCTTCTGCCTTTTTGCAAAGTCGGGATTATACATCGCAAATGCATAAATTGGTGTTTGTGTAAATCCACGAATTGTGTTTTTTTAATTTGGTTGGGCAGATGATATAGTGATGTTTACAAATATAGCAGGTGTCTGTTCAAAGCAGAGGGGCCTTGGCCCAGGTGTTTATGCAAAGATTGCTGGTGCAATACTTTCACTCAATTTCCTTTAACACCACTTTCCTGCCACCACTGTTTCCAATACAGTCTTTCTTGAAAGCTAACTTTACGGGTAAGAGGGCAATTCAAGGCCTTTAAGACCTGAATTGCCCATTTAAACGTATACTCGTATGGCGGCGGTCCAGACCATACAATCCAGTGATCAACATCATGAGTGTCGATCTACGCTTTTGGGATATGATGACCATGTGTCGACCAAGTCAGTGGGCCTGACCACCCGACCCCGTTAGTTAATAAATCTGAAATATATATCATAAAATTCGTGCATACTTCATGTAGGCAAAAAAAGTAAATTTTGTTTTCTTGTTTTACCTTGAAATGTTGTTGATTACGTTCATAGTATTCTGAATATACCAAACATAAATTATGCAAGCTTAACGTATATTTGATGTACATGTATATTTAAATATGTAGTTTTACAAAATAACATGACTGGGGTAGTCAGTATGCTAAAGTGTGTGACTCATCGAAGTTGGGGAGTCGCAGTCTGCAGTTGCCGATGTTACAATGTTCATCAGAGCACCATAATCTCGCCTTTGGGGTCGTTTCCTGCAGACCACTTCTGCCCAAGATCGCCCGAGAAGCAGTCGTCCAATAGTTACCACCCAAGCCCAGGACCGCTACATCCGGGTTGCTCACTTGCGTCATCGTCTTGCCACAGCCGTGGAGATTGCACAACGCATCCCTGGTTTGAGACGAACTGTCAGGAATCGATTGCATGAAGTGAGGTTTCGACCAAGAAAGCCAGTTCGCGCCCCTGTTTTGAGAGACTTCCATCGGCACAAACGCTTGGAACTGGAACGGTAGAAACTGGAGGCGAGTCTGGTTCAGTGATGAATCACGATTTTTTCTCCACCGGCGAGATGGAAGACAGCGTATTTACCGCCGGAGAAATGAACGTTTTGCCCCTAATTGCATTCGACAGGTTGACAGATTCGGTGGAGCCAGTGTCATGGTGTAGGGTGAGATATCCAGCACACAAAGATCAGATTGAGTGGTGGTTCAGGGAAATTTGACAGCAAATCGGTACATCAACGAAGTCACATGCTTCCGATTAAGGACCGACAGAGTTGTTCCAGCACTAGAAAGGCTACTTTGCATACAGCACTCGTCCCGGTCAGCTACCTTGCCAATTCTAACGTCAATGTCTTGCCATGCCATGGCCTTCCCGATCACCAGATCTAAACCCGGTAGAACAACTATGGGATGAACTCGATCGATGTGTACGTCAACGTCAGACACTTCCACAACTGGCCATCCCATTGCAGTAAGAGTGGGGATGAATTCCGCAAGAGCGACTTCGTCGACTTATATAGTCTGTGCCGAGACAGTGCCCAGCAGTAATTGCTGCCAATGATGGCCATACAAAGTACTGACTTTGACGCCATCTTGTGGACTCAAGTAAACATAAACACAACAATAAAGGCTGCTGATGTGTTGGCAAACTCTTTGTCTAAAGACGTGTGAATATTCACCTATTTACCATTGAAATTATATTACATAATTGCTCTTTAACGCAATAAATTCTTCTGAAAATGGCTCATGCGTTTCTTTTTTTCTAAGACCCGTGAAGATCCGGGGTAGAATAGGTCTTCAGCAACCCACAAAAGGCGACTGTGCTTGTCGTAAGAGGCGACTAACGGGATCGGGTGGTCAGGCTCGATGACTTGGTTGACACATGTCATCGGTTCCCAATTGCGCAGATCGATGCTCATGCTGTTGATCACTGGATTGTCTGGTCCAGACTCGATTATTTACAGACCGCCGCCATATAGCTGGAATATTGCTGAGTGGGGCGTAAAACTAAACTCACTCACTCACTCTTTTTTTCTGAAGAGTGAATGACGCTGACATTTGATTCTTTGCATTGTGTGATGATGTGAGGGAATTTGTGAACAATTTGGACTTTACGCCCTATTTAGAAATATTCCAGCAGTATCACAGCGGGGGACACAAACAATGCGCTTCGTACATTGTACCTATAGTTCATCATAAAATAGCAAAATCCTATGCAATATGCGATGATTTCAGTGAAAAAGCACTTGTTGGTAGTGATTGTGTCAGTCCAAATTCTTGAATTGTGTGATGATAACGTTTCATTTTCATTTAACCAAGCTACAGCGGAAATAATCGATCCCCAATGATTACATAGCATTTTTTAAACACCATTTACACCAATATATTTCCAGATATACATCAGAAAATTTGTAAACGTGAGTACATTATATTACAAACTCGCATGTGGGCGCTATATCTCATATACATTCCCTATTATAATACACCAGCTGTTGCCATATCACCGCTATACCGCGTTTGGATTACCCTAATCGATTGTTTACCCTACAGTCCGACCGGCAGGGATGTATATTCAATCCACGTCACTTCGTTACATTTCCGATAAAATACTCCGTCATGTCGTACACGGGATCTGTATGTACAAACCTGTTACGTGTTCCGCTGACTGGTCTGATCATGTGACCGAGTTGTGAACGTGTGTTTGAGGAAGATGAACGATGCTAAATGACAAATCCGGGATATTTCCACATAGGTAAGTGTGAGCGGAAAGGTATATTGTAATCAAGAGAGAAGGCTTTAGACTAGACTTATCGTTAACACGATGACTCATTCAATGCTTTATAATAAAATATCGCGTTGTTTAATGTGGTGCTCGTCACTCTCTGTTAGGGCTGGAGGTTGAGTGTCGTACAGGACGCCGTATTTCTGTGTTAGGGAAAGGGTACATGAGTAATCTCAGTGCTTCCTCCAGTAGATGTCGGACAGTTAAATATTGTTAAGGGAATACGTGTACATACTTAAGATTCCGTTGTGAGGGCACGGGTGGATGTCTGTAGTCTTATTTACCCCTCATTCACATTGGCCTGTAGGTCTAATTTTGAGATGCAATAAGGGTGGAGCTCGTTTGGCAAATACCCATTTCCCACTACCAGTTTCAGTTTTATTATATTTATAAGTATTTGATCTAATCTTTCTTTTCTGTTTTGCTTTGTTTATTTGTATCAGTTTAGTTTTGCTTGTTAGTTCTATATTGTTGTTAGTGCATTGTACATGTATTTCTGTTTGTTGTTCTATTTTTTGTTATTTTTTGTTTATTTAGTTCTGTTTGGGGGAAGGGGGTATTTAGTTTTTGTTTTGTTTGTTTGTTGTCTTTGTTTTGTTCTTGTTTTGTTTTTTCTTATTTCGGGGCGGAGGGGTGGGTGGTTGGTATTTTTTTAACGTGTTCAAATTCCTGTCAGAAACACTTGTACGCAATCTTCAATTTCCAATTTTTAGTATAAGCTTTCCAAACACTTGTACTACAGGTAAATGAATATATAGAGAATCTCACCCAAGTGTCTTCTGATATCAATTATATCAACACGATTTGATAAAGTTACAAATATCCGAGGCTTGCCGAGGATATTTTTACTTTATCAACAAGTGTTGATATATTTGATATCAGAAGACACGAGGGTGAGATTCTATTTATCATCCAAAATCACTCTTCATTAATTTTCAATGAAAAATGTACATCTCTGAACATGGTACTGCCATTACACTTGCAGTGCAGCGATGTCATAGCATTGTGATGTCATCAAGTACATGACGTCATAGCATTGTCAGGGCATTGTACAAAATCTACTGTCAAAGCGATATCTCCTAGGAGATATCGTTTGATCTCACACAAGCGATATCTCCTGTGGAACACAGTTTTGGATGATAAATCCCGTATTTCCGCATCGGAAATAGAAAGGTCTCTGTGTGTTCCATCTCATTCATACGTCAAACCCAGTCTCATCTGCGTATGACCGTGGGACAGTCTAACAGCTTTATGCTGTGGCAATATGAACAGACAAATGATCTATCCTTTCTGTATTGAATTTCATTTATGGTGCCAGTTGTCATAATTTCATATACTTATAAACAACGGAAAATCAACAGTTAAATAATCCATTCTTTCAATACACATTGTTGACGACCGCCTGCTGCTACCTGTATAGCAGGACAATGATATTACTGACGCCTGGTGTCAATACTGATTTTCAGGGATCCATTAATTTTCATCGCTTATTTGCTTTTCAGTCAGGTCAGATGAAATGAGGCTTAACGTCGCACTTAAGAATATTTCGCTCATATTGCGACGTGCATGAGAGTGTTGCTGCTTGTACTAGCCCAGACTTAAGCTGGTTTTATAGTGCTAGCTCACTGAGATACCATGCCGCAGTGAAGCGTGAATACCCTACTCAGACACATTATACTGACTCCGAGCCGACCAGTCCTTGTTGTACCCATTAATGTCGAGCGCCAGGCAGGGACCAACAAGTACCATATTTTAACGTCTTTTGGTATGACGCGGCCGGGGATCGAACCCGCGACCCTTCGCTCTCTGGGCGGACGCTCTAACCACTACACCACGGAGGCGGCTTTCAGTCAGGTAATGTTTTTCGAAAGAAAACAAATGGCTGATTATTATTTGTCGTTATAATCAATATCCCAGTGTGTTTAAATGGTGGAGACTAAAAGTCCTACATGGAGAAACGGTCAACATAATTTCTGGTGTCCCCCCGCCATGATGTAGCTGGAATATTGCTAAAAGCTGCGTAAAACTAAACTCACTCACACACACACACACTCACTTACTCAGTAAAAAAGAATTTGACAAGATCAACATTTAGTTTCAGTATATCGATTAAATAGAATATATGAATATCGATATGTATCCCCCATTCTCTCCCCCTCCATTCTTAATGTCCATTGCACCTCTGTCACGTGCGTTTTAAGGGAATATGACGAAATCTTGTATTTTTCTGTAAGTAAAAGCGAGAAAAGGCGTGTTGTTGTATATGCTCATGCGGATCTATATTATTTAATATACAGCTTGAGTGTCGGACCACATGCATTGACCGAACTCTATTGCCTATGGTATCACGTGATCAATTGCACCTGTCTCCGGTAGACTTTACTCACTTGGGCCTGGTTTCATATTTGAAAAAGATATTAGAAAGGTTACGGTGTCCTACCTGTTATTTGCGAAACACAATTTTCAATGTTGATGTGTATGAAATTTGAAAATGCTGAATCTTTGACCGATTAATAAATTTGAAGCCGTATGATATGTTTATTATTATGTTTAATGAAAACCATGTCGATGTTCTTTGTTGTCAGTTTCTATGAAGACAGGTCGACAATTATAATGTTTTTCTTCAATGATCCATTCAGCAGAGCACGTACAATACGTTCCTCGTGTGACGCAGTATTACAGCTCGTTCAGCCTGACCTGAGCTACTCTACGTATGCATGCCCCGGGAGGTCAAATGACGCAAACGGCAGGTCGAGATAACTCCTTTAAATAGGGGAGCAAAGAATGTTATTGATGTTGCGTTCGTGCAAAACATACATGCATGGATTCGTTACAGAACTTGTCCCGGAAAACAACACTTCTGAAAAACAATCATTTCATGTTTTAATTGAATTGTTTATACAGTCATATGCTATTTAGTTTGGTTTACTAACTTTACAACGTACCTGTAGACGTCAGTTACTTTCTCAATCCGTTTCACTCTCGCTGTCGCTCTCAACAACCAGTTCAATTATCACTTTTTCTATTTCATGTTCAACTGTAATATGTTTGTAGCTTCATTTTTAAAGAAAGTTAGGATATTGCTGACGATATCTCGACCCTGAGATGTGAAAAGGCGACCTTGTCTCGGCTGTTCGGACCTGTTGACAATCAACTGACAAAGGTGCACCCCTTCACAATAATAGACCCAACCAGCTGTGACACGGTCATGCAATTCATTAGTATTCACTTGATCAGGTCAAGCTGAACAAGCTGTAAGTACACATCTTGAAGTATTGACGATACATACACATGTTGACGTACTGACATTAGATGCACATCCTGAAATACTGCCGTTATGCACACATCGGGAAGTACTGACGTAATACACACATTGGCGTTAGCTACGCATTGTGAAGTACTGACGTTAGATACACATCGTGAAGTATTAACGTAATACACACAGTGGCGTTATACACACATCCGGAAGTATTGACGTTATACACACATGGTGAAGAACTGACGTTATGCATGGCACGTGGTGAAGAATTGACGTTACGCACACGTGGTGAAGTACTTTTCAAATAACTTTTGTTTTAGGATTTTTTATGTTATGCACTGTTATTTACGTTATATACACATGGCTAACTATTGACGTTTATACACACTTGTCATCTTGATGTATTGACGTTATACACATATCGTGAACTATTGGCGTTAGCTGCGCAATGTGAAGTATTGATGCTATATATACATGGTGTAGAATTGATGTTATACACACACCGCGAATTATTGACGTTATAAACACATCGTGAAGAATTGGCGTTATATACACATGGTGAAGTATTGACGTTATATAAACATCATAAAGTATTGACGTTACACACACATTGTGAAGTACTGACATCATACACACAAAGTGGGGTATTGACGTTACATACACACCGTGAAGTATTGACGTTACACACACAAAGTGAAGTATTGGCGTTACAAATGATGAAGTATTGACGTTACACACACATGATGAAGTATTGACGTTACATGATGAAGTATTGACGTTACGCACACACCGTGAATTATTGATGTTATACACGCACCGTGAAGTATTGACGTTATATACACACCGTGAAGTATTGACGTTATATACACATCATGAAGCATTGACGTTATATACACACCGTGAAGTATTGACGTTATATACACATCATGAAGTATTGACGTTATATACACATCATGAAGCATTGACGTTATATACTTACCGTGAAGTATTGACGTTATATACACATCATGAAGCATTGACGTTATATACACACCGTGAAGTATTGACGTTATATACACATCATGAAGTATTGACGTTATATACACATCATGAAGCATTGACGTTATATACTTACCGTGAAGTATTGACGTTATATACACATCATGAAGTATTGACGTTATATACACATCATGAAGTATTGACGTTATATACTTACCGTGAAGTATTGACGTTATATACACATCATGAAGTATTGACGTTATATACACATCATGAAGCATTGACGTTATATACACATCATGAAGCATTGACGTTATATACACATCATGAAGTATTGACGTTATATACACATCATGAAGTATTGACGTTATATACACATCATGAAGTATTGACGTTATATACACATCATGAAGCATTGACGTTATATACTTACCGTGAAGTATTGACGTTATATACACATCATGAAGTATTGACGTTATATACACATCATGAAGCATTGACGTTATAAACACACCGTGAAGTATTGACGTTATATACACATCATGAAGCATTGACGTTATATACACACCGTGAAGTATTGACGTTATATACACATCATGAAGCATTGACGTTATATACACACCGTGAAGTATTGACGTTATATACACATCATGAAGTATTGACGTTATATACACACCGTGAAGTATTGACGTTATATACACATCGTGAAGCATTGACGTTTTATTGATACGCATGTAATATAGCGATCAGCTTTTCCCAATGTTTGGCACTACACGGTTCTTTGAAATCTTTGATCATTATAGTTATTCAATGTTCTTCTTAAAGCCTCAAGATTAGATCAGTCTGTGTCATGAACAGAGTATGCAATAATTATAGAACGTCACACACACACACACACGTTGTACATTATTATACACACATCGTAAAGTACAAACGCTTTATACATATCTAGACGAGCAATGATAATGCGCTGCAAACCTTTTAACATAACCAGGACGAAGCATGGATTCGAACTCGTAATCATATGTTTCCGCTACACCAAACTCTTCACAATAAATTTCATACAGTCATTTTGTCAAAATTAGCAAATATTCCTAAAAAGGAAAGACTGTTATCAGCAGATTCCCCATGAGCTGAAACCAATGCATGGTAAGCTTGACATTCCTAATTGTTAGTTTCAGGAAAATAGTTTCAGACATGACGCACAACCAGTAATAAAACCACGAGGAAGCTTCCTTGTGGATAATGACCTGTGACGTATAAAATATAGTTTACCCGAAAATAGCTTCAATTTGTCTCAAAAATGGAATAATCTTTCCCCGAATATAAGGTTTCATTATGACACTGTGCATAACTATATTAAACAGCCCTCAACGATATACGAGTATATATGGGGAAATGGGGAAAACGGTTTCATAAAAATCGCCCAGAAATATTCATGCTCCCTTACCTTTTTTTTCTTCAGTAAACTTTTAAAAAATCCGACTCGTCCTCAAATGTCTTGTCTACTGTATCTCAAACCTGTTATCATAAAACTCATTGACCCTTGTACTCACACACGGTCCTTTGAAACCGACGTCGACATATCAACCTCTCTTATCACAAAAACTTACTCTCGCATATGAAGGTAGTTTTGTTACATAACTCATTGAAGAGGCGTAGTATGGAACAAGAATCGAAACGAAACTAAACATGTATGAGGTAAGGGTATACTAATAATCATAAAAAGATTGAGTATAACAATATGGGCCCTATATCAATAGCGCAATGACGTAAGTGAAGTTACATTGGTGTTTCGTTGCAGCCGGACTCGTCCAATGGTTGTACTCGGCTGCTTAGCGACGATGTGTCTCAATGCGGGATAAATACGACTCTGTGGAACTGATCAGCACTCGGCATCTGTAGACAGGATACTAGTTGAACACGCAATACGCAAGTAGTGATTGATGGCCATGGCCGCGCCTGAAGTGGATGACCAACTGACAGAGGATCTCAACTGCCCAATATGTCTGGAACTTTTGACCGAACCGGTGACGCTATATAACTGTTTCCACTCGTTCTGTAAGCGATGTCTTGAACAGTCGATACAAGGGGCTCGCGAAACGTACAGGAATCCTTACGCTTGTCCTCAATGTCGCCGTCGTTTCCTCCCCAGCGACGGCGAGAAGGTGAACCATCACCTCAAAAACATCGTCAACAGTCACCGGAAGGCACAGGAACGAATAGCGGAAATACGTCCGTACGAAATGAAGGATGTGAAGCCACAGTCACGTGATGGAGCAGCTGCTGTTGTTGAAACAACAGAGAAGCCATCTAAGGCGGAGCTTGATGTAGGTATTACTTTGGTAAAAGAGTTTCTCACAGGTTGACCTCTACCCGTGAACATCCGGGTTTCCCCAATACCACTACCACGGTAAGAGACTCGTGAACATCCGGGTTTCCCCACTACCACTACCACGGTAAGAGACCCGTGAAGATCCGGGTTAGAATTGGTCTTCAGCAACCCATGCTTGTCGTAAGAGGCGACAGGCTCACTGACTTGGTTGGCACATGTCATCGTATTCTAGTTGCGTATATCGATGTTGATCACTGGATTGTCTTGTCCAGACTCGATTATTTACAGACCGCCGTCAGATAGCTGGAATATTGCTGAGTGCGGGGTTAAACAAACAAACATACAACCATACAGATTGATTCCCAGTTAGAATTACCCTATCTCAAATTAGAGTATCACATGCTTATAAAAGCTGACTAAAGTGAGAGCTGTTAGTTTGTCGTTGTGCCTTTGATGTGCGGGTCGGTGCTTGTTCTTTCAACAAATGGTTTGCTTATTCCAGACGCTTTTACTCACATATAACAAGCGAGTATGGCTGTAATTTGCTGACTGTGGCGTTAAACAATCTCCAGTCACTTACAGACCGCTAAACTTAACATCATGATATGGTTTGTGCTATGAACAAAAAGGTTGGTTGTAGTTTATGGTTCATCAAATGTTTTGCCAAGTCCCAGTGTGTCACTATGAATCACATCGATCTCCCTGTGATGTTGATGTTCAAACAAGTGTCATCACTTTCTGTCCAGAACCTCACATCCTTCCTGTCCACAGTGGACACGAAGCTTCAGTCTCTGCTGACAGCACTTGACCAGTCCAGTATTAATGCAGGAGGAATACGGCAGGTGCGTACTCTGGTGGGTTTTTTATAACCGGTGTTATGTGTCTGGTGCCTGTCCTTGGGCAGGTGCTGTCTGTCTGATCCGTGTTCTGAGGCAGGTGCTATCTGTCTGGTCCGTATTCTGAGGCATGTGTTGTGTGTCTGATCCGTGTTCTGAGGCAGGTGTTGTCTCTCTGATCCGGGTTATGAGGCAGGTGTTGTGTGTCTGATGCGTGCTCTGAGGCACGTGTTGTCTGTCTGATCCGTGTTCTGAGGCAGGTGCTGTCTCTCTGATCCGTGTTCTGAGGCAGGTGTTGTGTGTCTGATGCGTGCTCTGAGGCACTTGTTGTCTGTCTAATCCGTGTTCTGATGCAGGTGTTGTCTGTCTGATGTGTGTTCTGAGGCAGGTGCTGTCTGTCTGATCCGTTTTCTGAGGCAGGTGCTGTCTGTCTGATCCGTGTTCTAAGGCAGGTGCTGTCTGTCTGATCCGTGTTCTAAGGCAGGTGCTGTCTGTCTGATCCGTGTTCTGATGCAGGTGCTGTGTCTGTCTGTCTGATCCAGGTGCTGTCTGTCTGATCCGTGTTCTGATGCAGGTGCTGTGTGTCTGATGTGTGTTCTGATGCAGGTGCTGTGTCTGATGTCTGATCTGATGCAGGTGTGTTCTGAGGCAAGTGCTGTCTGTCTGATCCGTGTTCTGATGCAGGTACTTTGTGTCTGATGTGTGTTCTGAGGCAGGTGCTGTCTGTCTGATCCGTGTTCTGATGCAGGTGCTGTCTGTCTGATCCGTGTTCTGAGGCAGGTGCTGTCTGTCTGATTCGTGTTCTGAGGCAGGTGCTGTCTGTCTGATCCGTGTTCTGAGGCAGGTGCTGTCTGTCTGATCCGTGTTCTGATGCAGGTGCTGTGTGTCTGATCCGTGTTCTGATGCAGGTGCTGTCTGTCTGATGTGTGTTCTGATGCTGTCTGATCCGTGTTCTGATCCGTGTTCTGAGGCAGGTGCTGTGTGTCTGATCCGTGTTCTGATGCAGGTGCTGTCTGTCTGATGTGTGTTCTGAGGCAGGTGCTGTCTGTCTGATCCGTGTTCTGATGCAGGTGCTGTGTGTCTGATCCGTGTTCTGATGCAGGTGCTGTCTGTCTGATGTGTGTTCTGAGGCAGGTGCTGTCTGTCTGATGTGTGTTCTGAGGCAGGTGCTGTCTGTCTGATCCGTGTTCTGAGGCATGTGTTGTGTGTCTGATCCGTGTTCTGAGGCAGGTGTTGTCTCTCTGATCCGGGTTATGAGGCAGGTGTTGTCTGTGTCTGATGCGTGCTCTGAGGCACGTGTTGTCTGTCTGATCCGTGTTCTGAGGCAGGTGCTGTCTCTCTGATCCGTGTTCTGAGGCAGGTGTTGTGTGTCTGATGCGTGCTCTGAGGCACTTGTTGTCTGTCTGATCCGTGTTCTGATGCACGTGCTGTCTGTCTGATCCGTGTTCTGATGCAGGTGCTGTCTGTCTGATCCGTGTTCTGAGACAGGTGTTGTGTGTCTGATGCTTGCTCTGATACAAGACTATGTTGTGTATCATACGTTTGTATGTCAGGTGTGTTCTCTGTTGCTGGTGTTTTCGGTCAGGTGCGTTTTTCAGATACTTTCTCCTGGACTGATGTTATGTGTCTGGTAGTGGTGGTCCGATTACCCGTAATTGAAATAATCGAAGATTGGTCGTAGTGGCTAAACGACCAAGGAATCGATCATAATTTCTCATGATTGAACACAAACAATTCTGGAACACTTGTTTTCATTAACAATATTTTTTTACATGGTTGGTTTTGTCTGTTACATTTCGTAACTGCACTACAAGCTCGTTTCAAGTCATGATTGAATTTATCTTAATGATTCTAAAAGTTTATGTTCCTAACATACTAGTCATCCTTTAAAGGTGTGAAAGTTTGCCCCAAAAAAACCCCCAAAAACTACATGGTTTTTTTCCTTATTTTTATGTGCATTAACAAATTGATTGGTAGTAATGAACTAATCATCAATTATGAGATTTTAACCAATTCCCAACACTAATGTCAGGTGTCTGCCCTGGGACAGGTGTTGTCCCTTCTCTGTTACAGGTGTTATTTGTGAGGAGCATATGTTGTATGCCCAACTGTATAGTTTATGTATATGCGACTTACGGGATCGGGTGGTCGGCTCGCTGACTTGGTAGAGACATGTCATCGTATTCCAATTGTGTATATCGATGCTTATGATGTTGATCACTGGATCGTCTGGTCCAAACTCGATTATTTACTGTCCACCGCAATATAGCTGGAATATTGCTGAGTGCGGCATTAAGCAACATACAAGTGTCATAATGTGTAGTAAATAACCGTATGTTGCCTTCACCATCAGAAGGTATCGAATGAGCCGTCAGAAAACACCACCATTGTGTCGGAACAAGTACAAGATCCTCCTCTGCAACTAGTGGAAGAAGTCAGCAGCACACATCCACCCAATACACAACAACAGCACATCGGTAACAATGTCGATCGATTTTTTTCACTTCATATGTAAAACGTTATTAACTAAATAGAACATTTCTAGTGAGTGAGTGAGTGAGGTGGGTTTTACGCCGCTTTTAGCTATATTTTAATGTATCATGCATTTTACCCATGTTGGAAATCGAACCCGTTCCTTAGGCCATGAGCGTATGCATGCGTGTTACGTGATTTAGTGCGTGAGTGTATGCTTTAGTGTATGCTTTTTGAGTGCAAGCATGCGGACGTGGTTGGTTGGCTGTGTGAGTGAGCAAGGTTGAGTTCACGTCAGACTTCAAACTCGTCTCTTGGGTGTTCCCATGCCTTGGATAGTTCTAAAAACGGCGTAAAACCCTAGTCACTCACTAACACGACGAAGCCATGAGTCAGCATTCAATAATCAATACCATTTGACTGGAAATGAGTTCGTTCCTTCCTTCCAATATAACCATTACTTGATTTCTTTTCGATTTATTTGCTTCGAAAGCTATGTTCTAAGTTGAGGGGGCGACGGGGTAGCCCAACAGTTAAAGCATTCGTTCGTCACGCCTACACCCAGGTTTGGTTCCCCACATGGGTACAATGTGTGAAGCCCATTTCTGGTGTCCCCCGCCACGATATTGCTGGAATATTGCTAAAAGCGGCGTGCTAAACTCACGAACCCACTCAAATACAAAACGTCAAGGCCAGAGAATAATCAGACTCGAGATTCCACTGGGCGTTAAAAGCATGAAAGCCGGGGAAAATTAGGTGGATCGGACCCTGAACACCAATACTGACACCAGGTGTCTGTGAAATGTCAGCCACAACGTCATCTTCTTTATGCTTCAGATTGCGACTTTGAAGCAGAATCATTCGGCGAGTTCCTGGAGCGATCTTTGGTAATTGTCAAGAAACACTTCCTTCTGATCATGTTTCTCATACACGCATGCGCACTGATCTTCTGTTTCCTGATGGGTGTGTTGTGACCATGGTGACACGTGACACGACCATGTTTGTTTGCATGCCTGTGTTGTACGTGTGTGCGCGTTCTGCATGTTGCAATATATATGAACCGACGTCTTTCATTTGTCAATTGGAATAGCAGTATTTTACCTACACATTGCTGGCCAGGTTTATGAACTCAATCAAAGTCAAGCGGCACTAGAGAATAAAGGTTATTAGTTACTTAATAAACTATAGACTCCTTTGGTTGTTTGATGATGATGATGATGATGATGGTGATGATGATGACTGCACCGTGATAGGGGTGAAATGATACAGCAAAGTCATGATACACAGGTCACGATACGATACGTATCGCGATACGCATATTTGCGTCTAAAAATGTGGAATTTCTTGACTATAAACATTTCAGAACAGGTTCAAAATTAATATAGCTGTATGAACACGTTGGTAGCGGTTATTTTTGTTATGGGTTCAAAACGCTAATTAAATATTTGACTGACAGGTGTCAATGAAAGAGTGGCATGAAAACTTATTTTAACAAGTGTGTCGTTTTGTATCATACAAAAAATGATATATTGCATCGTATGAAAACTCACTATGCACCCGTGCACCGATGTATCGTTTCAGCACCATTGCGTGATCGTCACACCATAACTACTGTCTGTTTTTTATAATAAACATTGCACATTGTATAATGTTGACTCTTGAGATGGTAGAATTTGTTTGGCCCTTCATTGTTCGGGGGGCCAAGGGGTAGCCTAGTGGTTAAAGCGTTGGCTCGTCACGCCGAAGACCCGGGTTCGAATCCCCACATGGGTACAATGTGTGAAGCCCATTTCTGGTGTCCCCCGCCGTGATGTTGCTGGAATATTGCTAAAAGCGGCGTAAAACCAAACTCAGTCAGTCAGTCAGTCCATGGTTAGGCGGAGCTTGTTTGTCAGTACAATGTGCTAGTAGGCTTCATCAACTGAGTAGCGAGGCGGGTAGCGTTGTGTTAAACCGTTCGCTCCTCGGGCCAAAGACCCGTGGGTGCTACGATTGAAGCCGATACCCGGTGTCCTTATCGTTATACACATATAGTTGATACCCGGTGTCCTTATCGTTATACACATATAGTTGATACCCGGCTGTAACTGAACTGACGCTGTTCAAAATGGCGTCGTAACATACTGACTGACTGACTGACTGAGTTTGGTTTTACGCCGCTTTTAGCAATATTCCAGCAATATCACGGCGGGGGACACCAGATATGGGCTTAACACATTGTTCCCATGTGGGGAATCGAACCCGGGTCATCGGCGTGACGAGCCAACGCTTTAACCACCAGGCTACCCCACCGCCCCGTAACATACTGAAGTTGAAAGGCAAGTCTAGATTTGGAAAGTGTGACCCAGGAACTTGAAAACCCACGCTTTTCCTGCTAATGTTCTTGTTTCGTGATTTACACTAATCTGTCAGTTAATCACAACACCACGTTATATATCGCCATGCTTTCATATCGACACCGCAGCTCCAGCCCGTTACCAACCAGGGTCCCGGTCTACAAAACGTTCGTAGCGGTACGAAATTCGGTAAACTATGGTGAACTATAGAGTTACGACAGGTCGTAACGTTACGAACGTTTTTTTTTGATCGGGACCCAGGTATCACTGCAACCAGTCTGCAAGCCTTCATTACAATAATCTTCATTTCACATTATATTTTCCATCAGAAGTCAAAGTTATTGACATTGAATTGTGTGTGTGTCTCTTTTGGAATATCACGTGAACTGGGACAACAGCTATCTTACATTTTTTTTCAGATTATTTGCGTTTGTTTAGTAATTTGGATTTGGTCGAGATAGCTTGGTAATGAAATCCCCTTATTTTCTCAGTAAAATAATTAAATGTTATAATGGTTAAATGAAATATAAATTCAAACTGACAACAAAGACATTATGTTAAATGGTGTTTGAGATGTATTTGACATCATAGCATTCGTTACTTTTACGTAAACAAAACTCATTTAGCGAGTTCCTCCAAGCATTATTGTACACCGATTAGATCAGCACAGTGGGGAGCTGTCTGTCTCCGAAGATGGGCACCGAATACTGGAGCACGGTCGCTAATCCAGTTCACTCACTCTGCAGCGCATGCTCAGCACGTTGCGTTTTCTGTAACACCTCTGACATATCCTACAAGAATATCAACGTCAAGAGGAACAGTCGTATGACGTGTTTTCTCAGTCACCATTGATAACATCTGGATTACTTATTATTCCTTTAAATGGTTGAGGGTGGTGGTAGTCGATTTATTTTCAAAACGATAAACGCTGTCTGACAGTAACTGGATAAATTCGTTACGGATAAAAACAATCACCCAGAAACACTGGTACATGTACATGAAAGAAGTTCCAATATGGTTTCCACAGAGCCCTTGCAGAGATATGTGGAATTGAACAACAACCAATTTTAAATGCCTTTAATGCCTTACTCCGTTATCACTTATATATCGGTAGGCGAGATGGGGATATGTTAACTTTGAGTGGCAAAGTCTGAAGCTTGTTCTTGCCCATCCACTTCTAACGTTTTAAGATCGTGCTATTGTCAAGGTTCATCACGTGACCAATACAGAACGCAACTCATTGTCATGGTAGCCATAACATTAAAACAAAACAGGACGTATTTAAGAAATACAGTTCGCTCTACCACCATGTACAGTGTAATAAAGTACACTATTTGCCCTGAACTATTATGGTTAAAGTACGAGGTTCATTGTGGCGCCTTTGATCTTTTAATGAAGTATCTTAGAAGTGACCATACTGCAAAAATCCCTAGGTTTTCTCTCACACCCCCGCCCCCTCCCTGCCTGGGATGGGGTTTTATAATTAAATTTTAATAATGGATTTGTCGTCGCACCCAAAATCAACGTGTTTTCTTAAAATACGTCATAAGGTGATTCGATAAAGACAGAATGTCCAAGAACGCGGTTGTCAGATGGTGATTTTGTTGAACAGTTCGGTGACCTGATAAAACGTACACGTGTTCAGTATGCATGAAATAATTATGTTCAGTGTCGCAGAACATACCTACCATGCACTACATCTGCACCTTCTCCGTATTGATTTGAAATGTACTGTCGTGTAAAGTTCACATCCATGATTGACTGTGTTTAGATATGAAACGAGCAAGAAATGGTTATTCGATGGTACTGAATATCATACGGGTATCAAAGCTCTGCTTAACCGGATGTTTCCAGTGTTTCGGCGACTCAGTTTGGTAATATTTAGGTGTGGCGGGGTGGCCGAGTGGTTAAACCGTTTGTTCATCACGCCGAAGGCCCGGGTTCGATTCCCTACATGGGTACAATGTGTGAAGCCCATTTCTGGTGTCCCCCGCCGTGATATTGCTGGAATATTGCAAAAAGCGACGAAAAACTAAACTCACTCACTCACTTTGATAATGTTTGAATTATTCGGTCACATTAACCTTAATACTTAACATTGATCGTCAGTTTATGTGTGATTAGTAATGAAGGTGGCGGTTGGGTTCACTTGTTACTCCGACAACCCAGTTCGATTCCGCATACCAGTTAGGATTAACATTGAACACTCCCCACCTACTTCAAGACACAAAAGATCTTGCTAATTGGTTTACGCTATAGAAAGCAATGGTCTGACTTTATCACGCCGACCTGTCAATACTCGAGTTTGGGACACACACCAGTGGTTGATATTGTGAGCATAGTTTGCTAATTTTTAAGTCACCTGACCCCACCACGTTGTGTTAAGTTGCCTCTTAGAAGTAACGTGGTGTTGTGGACAAATTGTAAACCCCTTCTTTCTCTCGGGATCATTCTTCAACTACAATTTGGAAAAGTAAAGCATCCCTCCAGACGCTGTGCAGAGTGTGAGTGACTTTTGTTTTGCGCCGCATTTAGCAATATTCCACCAATGGTGAGGACATCAGAAATGGGTTTTACACATTACACCCGTGTAGGGAATCGACTGACTGACTGAGTTTCGTTTTACACCGCTTTTAGCAATATTCCAGCAATATCACGGCTGGGGACACCAGAAATGGGCTTCACTCATTGTACCCATGTGGGGATTCGAACCCGGGTCTTCGTCGTGACGAGCCAACGCTTTAACCACTAGACTACCCCACCGCCCCTGTAAGGAATCGAGCGAACGCTTTAACCACTAGGCCTCCCCACCGTCTCCGCTGTGTAGAGAGGCGCCCCTGATTTTCTCGTCCTCGTCCTGTGGATTTGGGTTTAAATCCCATATCCTCACAGAACCCTGATGTGTCATCACATAATGGTTTCGACGACATAGAAAACATCCGGGTCTAACGCCACACTCAGCAATATTTCGGCTATATGGCGGCGGTCCGTAAATAATCGAAACTGGACGAGACAGTTCCAGTCAACAGCATGAACATCGATCTACGCAAATGGGATACGATGACATGTAGTCAAGCAAGTCAGCGGGCCTGACCACCCAATCCCAGTCGCCTCTTCTTACGACAAGCATGGGTTGCGGAAGACCAATTCTAACCCGTATCTCGGTGCTCGTTAATCTGACACGCTGTGATGTTTCTGAAAAATTATTTTATCGGGTAACATGAATCACTTTCACCTCTTCTGACCAGCGGACATTTGCAAGTAATTTTGAATTGTTTGAAGCACGGGTACAAATCTTTTTTTTGTAGCCATGGGCATCGCTAGATTTTGCTGACAAGAAAAACAGATTTAGAGTTACCTTCCATCGATTTGCATTCGCAAAACATCGGTTATTTCCGTACATCATACGTGATTCAGTGTTATTCGAGATAAAGAATTACTACCACGAAGTACCAAATGAGTTGCCATTGACAGCGGGGTACATTGAAATGTTACTCGCTTGTAAACGGGGTACATTAAAAATTATAGAAGAGCGCTCAGCCAATCAGAAAGCGACATTTATGTGTGAGGTAACCATGTCATATTTATGAAGTGTCATACATGCATATTGTTTATATGTATATCCCTCATGAATATGTATATATGCGTCATGCTGAAACTCGTGGAGTTCTACCAGTTCAATATGTCGGTGTGATTCAGTACGTGCAGTGCCGTACACTAATCAATTGTAATTACTCGTTAGGCGACTAGTTTATGCAGCTGTCGCCATAAACGTTTGAAATTCGAAAAACCACTCATCATATGATTTGCGGATTGGGCGCCGGGAATCGTTCGACTGCACAAGTGCTCTTCCGGTCAAGGCGCGCTGTGGTAGCCTAGTGGTTGAGTGATCGCCCGTCATCACGCCGAGAACCCGGGTTCGATTTCCCACATGGGTACAATGTGTGAAGCCCATTTCTGGTGTCCCCCGCTGTGGTATTGCTGGAATTTTGCTAAAAGCGGCGTAAAACTAAACTCACTCACTCTTCCGGTCATTCCTGTATGGTTCCGATGCGGAACAGATCATCAGTGAGCAGTACGTGCCATCCGAATAGACCCGGGGCTCAGGTGTCTGAATTGGCCGAGTGCTTGTCTGCAAGCCTTGCTCCAAGTCTGTGATGAATGATAATTTCAGGGATTTATAGTAATTCTAACCTTGAATTGGAGTAAACTACTACTAACCACTCAAGTTAGCCTTTTATATAGGTACTGTTGTAATTGTGTTTGTTTGCGTTCGCACCCATCTGCCATTTAAAATAGTCAAAATATAGATTGAAGCA